ATTCTTTTGAAGCATTTTTCAAAATTTTCTTATAATTTATTTTAATTAATTACACTTTTAAACAAATAAAGTGATAATTTATTTGATTATTTGTAAAATTAATTAATTTTATTCTTATATGAAAGTATGAGCGTTCTAAAAGTTTATTTAAAATAAAAAGTATACCATATTTTTTAACTCATATTAATATTTTTTGATAAAAAAGATGTAATGTTTCGAACGATTTTTTTTTAATATATATATATATTATATTATAATATATATATATATATATATATATATATATACAAAACAAAAAAAATACCGTTGGAAACCATGCATCGACCGGCCGGAACAGAAATTATATATATACACCGTTGGAAACCATCATCGGAACCGGCCGGAACAGAAATCGGACTAGAATTGCCGGTTAAAGGGCCAGTTCAGGTTCAACATTTTAAAAATTTTGAATCGTCAATTCTGTGAACCGAAACCGGCGGTTCAACGAACCGGCCATGCTTACCTTATACCCTTCTTTTACCACATATTCGCCTTTTCTATTCAAATTCCAAATCCAATCATCTGCAGATCGTGATCGAGCCAAAGAAATATGAAGAATAAGCTCAGCATCCCTGTGCATGAAGGCAAATCGAATTAAGTTCTCATTCCGACGATTGTTTACTATAAGGTCAGACACCATGCGCAAAGTAGAATCCTCTATGAACTCTGTTTGAATAGTAGGATTAGAAGTGTCTAAAAGCCAATGATCCTTCCATATATGAATGTAGTTATCACAACAACCATTCCGCAAAATCGATCTCGCGGCACAAATACTTTGCCAAATTTGACTTGGATTGTTACCCACAGCAACTTCTAAAAACTCATTCTCACGGAAATAACGAGCTTTTAAAATCCTTGCTACCAAAGAAGATGGAAACTTCAAAATACGCCATCTTTGTTTAGCTAGTAAAGCTAAATTAAACTGTCGGGGATCTCTATATCCTAAACCACCATAAATTTTAGGAGTAGACATACGTTTCCAGCGAAGCCATCGAATTCCTCCCTCATCTTGACCTCCATGACACCATAAGAAAGAATTCATCACAATTTCAATATCTTTGCAAGTATCCAGTGGCAATAAAATAAGGACATCAAGTAGTTCGGCATTGCTTAAGCCACTGTTTGTAATAAAACATCTTTCCTTGCCTTGGAAAGTAATTTGGATTTCTAGCCATGGATTGGGTTAGATACCTTCTCCACTACATTATGAAAAACTTTCCTTTTATCTCTTCCAACCATAGATGGCATGCCCAAGTAGTTGCCATGATTAAGAACTTCATTGACACTCAGAATAGTGCAAATTGAGCTCCTTAACTCCATTTCAGTATTTGGAGTGAATACCACAGCCGATTTGGAAAAATTAACCTGCTACCCGAATGCTTGCTCGTACAGATTCAGACAATTTTTTAATTCCATATCCTCTCCTGTTGTTGCTTTGGTAAAAAACAAAGCATCGTTAGTGAAGAAAAGATATGAAATTGGAATTGCACCTCTACATACCTTGGCACCATGAATTCAACCCTGAGCTTAGAGCTTCGAAAGAATTGCCAATAATCCCTTAGCGCAAATTATAAATAGATAAGGTGATAACGGGTCTCCTTGGTGCAAACCCCTTCCAGGAAGTAAAGGACCATGCTCCTCAGCACCCCGGACAAAAAAAATATTTTACTGTAGTAACAATCCGCATTATCTTGCTTACCCATGATTCAACAAAACAAAACTTTAGCATGATTAACCGTAAATATTCCCATTCTATTCTATCATATGCTTTGGACATATCAGTTTTCAAAGCTAGAAAGCTGAAATATCCTTGGGTCTTTCTCTTTAATGAATGAAATAATTCATATGCAATAATAGTGTTGTCCGTGATTAAACGCTGACAATATTTGTTTTAATCTGGTAGCAATAACCTTGCAGACAATCTTGTCAACGACATTGCTTAATGAAACAATCCTGTCAACGACATTGCTTAATGAAATGGGCCTCTAGTCTGTGACAGTAACTGGAGTCGATTTCTTAGGGATAAGAATGATATTTGTTCGATTCTGACCAGGCATCTCACAATTAGCTTTCAAACATAGTAAGCATTCTCGAATAACATTTGCCCCTACCACGTCCCAATATGTTTGAAAAAATCCTGGATTTAGGCCGCCTGGCTCTGGGGATTTATCTAGATGCATAGAAAAAAGTGCTTCACGAACTTCTTTTCCTCTATATGGTGCCAGCAACATATTATTTTGCTCTACTGAAACTTTGCGTTCTACATGACTCAAAATTGGTTCAGGATCACCCTGCATAAAATAAACAAATTAGTATAGAAACGCAAAATAACATCAAATAATCCCGACTCCCAATTGACCCAAGCTCCTTCTTCATTTTGCAAACGGGATATAAAATTCTTCCTGTTTCTGTTGGAGGCCATAGCATGAAAATATTTTGAGTTGTTGTCCCCTTCTATGAGCCAGTACTGTTTCGATCTCTGTTTCCAATACATCTCTTTTTGCAATAACAATTCACCATATGTTGCTTCCGTTTGCCGTAACACAGTCATATCAAGACTTGGTTGTTGGCATAAAAGAGACAGTTGCTTCTCTACCTCCCATAACCTGTTATGGAAATCTTTATGGTGATCTTTAGCCCAAGAATGGAGAAACCGAGAGCAAGATGCAATTTGATCTTGTAATGAGCAAAAATTACCATTTGTCTAACCCTTAAGCACCATCTATTTACAATCAGCTTCCAACGTCCAAGCGTTTTCAAACCGAAAGCGTTTTTGAACATATTTTTCAATTTGAATTCCCAAAGAAAGAAAGTGTGGGCAATGATCGGATGAATTAGTTTCCAATACATATACCTTGGTCATGTTAAAAATCGATTTCCATAAACTTGTAGCCATCACCTAATCAAGTCTCTCCCTGATCGCATCAAAATCCGTCCTCCAATTTTCCCATGTGAAGCGTGGTCCGACATAGCCCAGATCATGCAGTTGCTAATCCATTAAAGCACCTTTAAAACCTTCCAATAACCACCTAGGATGAACACCATATCCTTGTTTCTCCACGAGATACATAATATCATTAAAGTCGCCTATGATACACCAAGGCAAAGGCGACTTGTTTTTCAATGAGTGCAGCAAGTTCCACCCTAGTTGCCTATTGGTTCTATGCACATATCCATAGAAACCTGTAAGCCTCCACTGTTCCATCCCTTTGATACAGACCTCCACATCAATATGGTGTTGAGAATAACTTAATAGTCGAGCCATATTAGCATCCCTCCATATAAGAACCAGCCCACAACCTATACCAATTGGATCAACTACAAAACATTCGCTAAAGCCTAAATCCTTTTGAACTTCAAAAACCTTTTCTTTTTTTATTTTTGTTTCCATGAGAAAAATAAAATTGGGTTTCTTATTGGACACAAGGTCCTTTAGAGCCCGAACTATAGGCGGGTCCCAAGCCCCCGACAGTTCCAACTTAATGTACTCATTGATTCAGGCGAGCCAGGGAACCAGAGCCCGCCAATTCCACATTTTTTGGATCCGTTTGAAAAGCTTTTGGGACCACTTCATCCTCCATACACTCCCTATCCACGTCAGAGACAATCTCCTTTCCTAAGTCAGTATCATTCTCCACTCATCTCCTTTTTAGGTCAAACACTAGAATCGTATCCACTAGAATTGTAGTAGGGTCATTCAAGTGGGACTTTAGTTCCTTATCATGCACGGAATGAGAGTCATGAGAGCTATCAACCTTATCCCCTCCAATATTTTTTGCATGTAACACGTTTATAGGAGCTCCTATTTTTGCATTCGCTGCCTTCACCACTGGAGATCCCATTAGGTCTTGTTCTGTCGGTAGCCACCGAGCTCCAACTTATGATGTTCATTTTGAATCTGCCTTAAGCCAACTACCATAACCAAACTTCTCTCTTAGAATTTGGGGCAAATCATAAAGCATTTTACAAGCATGATCAGTATAGCCAATGATACCACAAAAGTAGCAAAATGTGTTTAATCTTGTTAAAGTTACAGCTACAGCTATTGATGCAAGTGTTGTTGACAATTTTTGGAGGTATTTTGTTAAAGTCATTTAGATTTTGTTGTATTTTGTTTGATGCAAGTGTTGTTGACAATTTTTGGAGGTATTTTGTTAAAGTCATTTTAGATTTTGGTTTGTATTTTGTTGAAATCAAGAGGTAGGTGACTACCTTGCTTTTTAGGTAAGGTTTGGTGACAACCTTCCTTGACTTAGTGGAAGGTTGGTGAACAAACTTTAGACTAGCTCTACTATAATGTTTACATTATGGCTGTAATGGAATTAATCAGATTATTTGTTTTTCTTCACACTCACAAAATCTGGCAGCTTATTTTTCTTTCTTTTTTCTGCAGAATTTCCTCCTCTTCCTTAATTTTCCTGCTCTTCTAAACCAACAAGTGGGTATCAAGAGCAACCTTGATCTCAAAGGGCTGTGTGTGTGTTTTTGAGGTGAAGTCATAGAGAAAGGCAACCAAATAAAACCAGAGATTTGTGAAAGTTTTTGTTTTATTTGCTTTTCGGCTCAAATGGCTTCCAGCAGCAAATGTCTCTTTCACCACCTCATTTTAACTGGGAAAACTATCATGTTTTGGGCCTGTGAAGTGAAGATGAGAGCTTATTTTAAGGGGCTTGGATTATGGCAGTATGTGGAGGAAAACAGAGTACCTCCACCTCTTAATCAAAATCCAACCCTTCAGCAGATTAGACAACGAGAAGAAGAGGTTGCTAAGGCTCCAAAAGCTCTATCCTATATCCATGCAGCTGTTGCAGATCCTATCTTCACCAAGATTATGACATGTGAGACAAAACATGAAGCTTGAGAGAAGTTAAAAATTGAGTATCATGGATCTGAAAAAACTAGACAGATGCAGATATTTAATTTAAGAAAAGAATTTGAAATGTTGAAAATGAAGGACAAAAATGAAAGGTGAAAGAATTATGTTGATAGAGTTTATGAAAATTGTAAACCAAAATTCGATTGTTGGGAGAAGAGTTAGAAGAGAAGAGAATTGTGGAGAAAGTTATGGTGACTCTCCTGAAAAATTTGAATGCAAGATTTCTTTCCTCTTTGAAGAAAACTTGGGAACAAATGTCACAAATTCCTTGAATGTACTTTCAAATGCTCTTGACAAAGCTGGTAGAACAAAGAAAGCCTATAGGGAAGAAGAAACCATTGGAGAGAAGGCTCTTGTTGTGACTCATAAAACAAAAATGCAAGAAAGGAGGTCAAGAGGCCAGCAAACTGACAGAAAACCAAAAATGAAGAAGAATTTCAGAAAAAATTGGAGGAAGGACAGATTTTCACCTTGTCCATATTGCAAAAAAAACAAACCACACTGAGAAATACCGCTGGTTCAGACCTGGAGCTCAATGTAAGGTTTGTAAGCAATTTGTCGCATCGAGAAAGTTTGCTCTACAAACTAGAAACCAGAATCAACAAACACAAGCCCATCATGCACAAGTCACTGAAAATTCTGAAAAGTATGAAGAACAACTATTTGCTGCAAATGAAATTAAAAAATGTGGTGTCTCAATTGAAGCTAAAGAAGCATGGCTTGTTGATAGTGGCTGCACTAACCACATGACACCAAACTCGGTGAATTTCGATAGCTTGGATACAACCTATTCTTCAAAAGTCAGACTTGGAGATGGTAGGCTTGTTGATGCCAAAGGCAAAGGAGATGTGATTGTACAAACTCCTTCAGGTACAAAGCTTGTTTCCGATGTTCTTTACGTACCAGAACTATATCAAAGCTTGTTTTCAGTTGGTCAATTGCTGGATAAGAATTACAGTTTGCTATTTAAAGATAAAACTTGTGAAATAAGTGATCCTTCTGGCTCAACTCTGGCTCAAAGTTATTTGCTGTCAAAAATGAAACGGAGAAAGCTTTCCTCTAAATTTAAGAAGACTTCAAAGAAGAATCTTGCTTGAAGTCATAAAGAAGAAATCTGATTTGTGGCATAAGAGACTTTGGTCACACCCAATCTCAATTCATTAAATTGCTTACAATCCAAAAGTTAATGTTGCTGATTTTTGCCATCTATAATTGAAGAAGACAGCAGTATAATGTGTAAATATGTCAGTAGGCAAACTCAGCCAAACACCATTTTCCATCTGTAAAGCATGGAGAGCTTCTATGAACTTTGAATTAATACACACTGATGTGTGGTGGCCCTATTGAGTGTCTCATCTTACAATGGCAGCAAGTTATTTTCTATTGTTTATTGATGACTACAAACCAGATTTTTGCTGGTATATTTCCTCCCAATTCAAATCTGAAAGTTTTTCAAAATGTTCTTGAAGGTTTAAATCAATGGTAGAGAACAAGCTGGCTCCCCAATCAGATTTTAAGAATCTGATAATAGGGGCTGAATTTAACATCCAATCAATTCAAGCATATTTGGCAAGAAGCTGACATTCACCATCAATTAACAGTAGCCTTACACACCTCAACAAAATGGTGTAGTGAAGAAAGATCGATCTATGATGAATATGGCGAGATGTTCTCTGTTTTGGAGAAAAATCTAACCCAAAGTCTTTGGGCTGAAGCTGTAAAACAACACTGCTGTTATATCTTCAAAATCGGCTTCCACCAAAGCTATTGATGGAAAACTCCTTTCGAAAGCTGGTTTTTGGAGTTACACCATCGGTTGGTCTCTCAAAATCTTTGGAAGCATAATTTATTCATTTATTCCAAATTGCAAAAAGAGGAAATTTGGATCAAACGAGCTGAAAAAAGGATTTTAGTCGGCTTACAGCAGTGATCCAAAGCCTACCAGAATTTTGAATCCTGTTAATAAAACAGGTGTAATGTCAGCAGGAAGTTCCCAAATTCGGATGAGAAAGGTTGAAATGGGATTGGAGTAAAATGGAACCAGAAATTCTAATCAATTTTGATTTTCAGCAAGAGCAGAACTTCCAGTTGACAATGAGAGAATCAAATGAAACAGATGATTATGGCAATTAAGAGGAACTAGATCCTAGAGGAAATTTACAGCAGATGTATGTTGTCTTCACTTGAACCAACTCAGGTGGGAATGAAAGCCTTAAAATTGCCTGAGTGGAGAGCTGCCATGGACGAGGAAGTTGAAGATGATTATGAAGATACGAACATGGATTTTAGTTTCCTAGACCATTGATTAAGCATGTAATTGGAACTAAATGGGTATCAAAGTTGAAATTAAATTCTGATGGGCTCCATCATAAGCACAAAGCAAGGATATGTTGTTTAAAGGCTACGCTCAACAACGCAAGGGGGTTGATTTTACAAGAACCTTTGCACCAGTTGGCAAGATTTGACAGTACTATCAGATTGATTTTGCACTAAGCAGCAAGTGGAGGTTGGCAAGTCTCTTTCAATTTGGATGTGAAATCAGCTTTCTTAAATGTTCTTTGAAGGAAAAGAAGTATATATTTGAGCAGCCTTGAAAGCTTTTATGATGGAAGGCAATAGAGTGTGTTTGTTTGAAGAAAGCAACTCTATGGTTTTTTAAAACAGGCCCAAGGGCCTGGTAGGCCAAGATTGGATCATTACTTTGCTGAATTTTGGGTTTTTAATACGAAGCTTTGATGAGGCAACACTTTACGTAACTCAACAAGGAAGTGGATGTGCTTATCGTTCCTGTGTTGCTTGACGATCTACTTGTCAACGGTAACATTTACAATTATTCAAGAATTTCAGGATTGAAGATGCAGCAGGTTTTTGAGATGAATGATCTTGGCTTAATGTGCTTATTTCCTTGGGATTGAAATTGGTCTGCAAGATGACAGGATTTTTTTTATTTCACAAAAAGAAATTTTGCTTGGGGCTGCTTAAAGGTTTGAACTTAGCAAATGAAACCAGTGAGTACACCTACAGTCCATGAATAAAATTGCAAAAAGGATGAATGGTTTCACCTCTATAATGCTTCAACTTATGAGGAGCATGGTTGGTTCTTTGTGTTTTTCTGTAACACGACAGATATCATGTTTGCAACCAAAATTTACTGTCAAGATTCATGAAATTCCTTTCCAACCGAAACCATCTACAGCCCAAACAAAAACCAAGCATATCAAAATCAAGTATCATGCAATTCGTGAAGCTGAAAAGGAAAATGAAATTCAGATTATTCATTGCAATTCTGAAGACCAAACAGCGGATATTTTCACCAAGGCATTGCAAAAACCAAGATTTGAATTTCTTAGGAATAGACTTGGTGTTTGTCTCAACTCTTGTATCAAGGAGGAGTGTTAAAGTTACAGCTACAGCTATTGATGCAAGTGTTGTTGACAATTTTTGAAGGTATTTTGTTAAAGTCATTTAGATTTTGTTGTATTTTGTTGAAATCAAGAGGTAGGTGACCTTGCTTTTTAGGTAGCGTCTTGCGTGAACAACCTTCCCTTGACTTATGGAAGCGTTGGTGAACAACACTTTAGACATAAGCTCATACCTCATAAATGTTTTACATTATGCTGTATGAATGCGGAATTAATAAGAAATTAATTGTTTCTTCACACTCACAAAAATCTTGCAGAGCTTTTTCTTTTTCTGCAGGAATTTCCTTCTATTAATTGTTTCTTCACACTCACAAAATCTGCAGCTTTTTCTTTTTCTGCAGAATTTCCTTCTCTTCCTTAATTTTCTGCTCTTCTAAACCAACAAATCTTTCATACTTGAAAGTTAAACAAGCAGTTAACTTAGATTTCTTGACAAAAAGCTTTCCTTTTAATGGCTGTCTTACGTCCAGTTGTACTCGAATTCGTATGAAGTCACGCCAAATTCTTAGAAAATTTCGAGGGTCAGCTTCAAGGAACCCACCGATGTAATTAGCCGCATCACAAGCGACTCTTTCTGACTTAAAACCGTTTGGAACATCATGTATCTGAACCCACAGCTGCAGCTTAGTGAGTTCAACTTGGCGAGGATTTTCCTGTGGTTTCATTTCGTGCACCAATAAAGGAGTTTGTTGATAGTTCCAGGGGCCACCTTGAATGACTTTCTCCACGTCCAGATGGTGAAAAAATTGAAAAAAATAAGCATTATTTCCTAATTCTTTAATCAAGATACCTTTAACCGGTCTCCACATACTAGCCATGACTTGCTAAAAAATCATGAAGTTAATGGTCTTCTCTGTTAGAAGTCGTCCCACAATACAGTTCTCCTAGGCAGACTCTTCCTTGACCTGTTCATGTTGTTCTGAATCATCCACATACTCCACAACCCCTTGTGTTTCTTATAGATGCAAATGTTGATATACCTCCCTGACCAGCCGCTCTGCCTCACTCTCGTTTTCCATTGTAAATGAAAAACAAAGAGGAAAGGAATAAAGAATAAAGAATGAAAAGGAATCTACGTGTTTAAAGAAAAAGCTTGGAATCAAAAATAAGAGAGAAAGGTCTCAACACTGTGAGAGAGATTTTCACAAATTCGAACATGTGTATACATCATTTGATATTTGAAGATTCAAATAAATAAAAATTAAATATTATTATTAATAAAAAATTGTTTAGAACAATTTTAATTATTTTTATTCACAAATCAAAAACTTTTAAAAATAACATAATTCAATGATAATATTTATTTAAAAAACATATAACACTTCCGTGCGAAGCGTAGTTTATTATAAAACTAGATTCATCTCTCCAAGGATGCTAAGGCAACAGGAATTGGACGTAGCATTTCTTGAATGAAAACAGGAAATTACTTGCCTAGATCGGGTCTATGTTCTCACTTATGGAGTAAAGCAATGAAACTAAAGATTTTTTAAAAAATATTCTGACTTTTTTTTAAATATATAGTCAAAAATACCCTCGTTTTACTAAAATTTTTTAATTTCATTAGTTTGGTTTATAAGTGGGGCCATAAACTCAGTGTGAGTAAAATTTTCACATAAAACAACCAAGGGAATACCTAGATAGAGAGCTAAAAATTATTAAAAGTTAAATATTATTATTATTAATCAAAATTTTACCTAAACTTTTTTCTATCGTTTTCATTCTTAGTTTTAGAATGAAATTACAAATTAAAAACTTTTTAAAATAACAATATAATTCAATAACAATAATATTATTCCAATAATATACAAAAACCCACTCTAATTCTGGAATCACGACTAATTACTTTTTAATAGATAAAAAATATCAATGAAAAAAATAAAATTTTATTGAAAATGAAACGAAATTAAATAATCTAAAATCGACTGTTGGAAGACTGATCCATATTGGGCTAGAAACATTTATAACCACTGGATTCATCAGATGATAAAAAGAGCCCAACTTGACCCAATCTCTGTTTAGTACGGCTACAACCCAACGCCTATGTACCATCATCGCTGAAATTTCGAGCTAGGGTTACGGTTCACTTTTCTATATAAACCTCTTCTTCGTCTATATTTTTCCTCAGCTCTGATCCTCTGCCTTACGTCTCAGGTAATATTTACAGCAATGTCGAGTATAGTTTCTTATGCTTTATGTTGATAGATCCATCTATTTGGCGGTTTTAGGAGTTCGATTTTAGACATTCTGTGAATATCCCGATGAGGAAGCAATCCCATTAGATAGGAAGTGCCGTATGACACTTTAATCACCAGCGGTCATACTCACGAACTCACTTTTCACATCCGCCAATTGCAGTCCTTCTGATTCGTTTCCTTTGTGGTTTCGTTTTCTGTTTGGGTTGTTGATTGGTCGGGATCTGTGGGCGACGGTGTGCCGTTGTGTGGGTGATTTGAAACGGGTCTCTGAGGGTAGTATTGTGATTGTTATTTATTTTTGAAAAATAGTAACGTCCGATGCCACGTCGCCGGTAGCCAGTGGCGTTGACCGGCGATGCTATGATTGGACGGAAATCAATTTCTTGTTTCGCCTTTTGATAGGAACCTGTGGATCTGGTTTCAGTTGATCTACGGAGCCGTTTTCGGCGATTACATTTTAATATTTTAATATTATTTATATAATTTTTTTAAAATTATAAATTTTGGGAAAGAGAGATCTGAAGCCTATGAGGATTTCTTTTATTTAGTTGGAATTACCGGCTGAATTTCACTTGATGTCAATATTAGACTGGCTGTCTGAGGCTTCGGAATGTATTTTCAATCTTTTGTTTCAAATAATTTTTTAATATTCTAATTATAATAGGTAATTAATTATTTGGTTCCAAATTTGATAAATTAAATGGGACAAATGTAAAATTATAATAAATAATTAGTATGTATCAGGAAATTCATGGGTTTTTATTTTCTTTATTTTGGAATAATGGAATTTGATTAGAAAAAAAAATTATAATCATGGATCGCTCTAGTCAAAAAGATATTTAAAATAAATATTCATTCATTATATCCTTTATTCATTTTTAAATTCTTTTAATTTAAAACAATATATAATAAAGATTGAAGTAAATTTTGATTTTTCAGTGAGAAATTTCAATTTAGCAGCTCACAAGTCTCTTCGTTTCAATGAAGTAATTTTGCAACGGGTGAGCTGATTTCTATTCTTATTGCTAGTCGAAGCATGCACTTAACGCTCTACAATAATAATAACAATGTCTTGGACATGGTTGTCCACAAAAAATGGGATTGACAATAAATGAAAATAGATCAGCATTTGTCAAATGATGATGAATTTACACCTATTAAATTCAAGAGATGCAGATAATTAGGTTAAGCTTGAGTTGAGGTTGCTCCTGATCTCTAAGTGGGTGGAAAGAATCTGTTGAGATTGAATGGCAAAGTGTAGAACTCTTCATTTCTATTATCTCCTCTAAATGTTCTGAACTTTACCCACCATGGCATTCCTCTGTCTTTCTTCGACTTCTCCACCTCTAATGTGTTGTCAAGAAAGACTGCTACGATCAAACCCACTGTTGCCGGAGAAGAGAATATCGTATTCAAAAATGCATTAAACTGCAAAGAGACCGTAAGTATAATTATAAACAAATACTGTTTAGGATTAACTCAGATTGGAATTTGCATCTGCCAAATCTTATATTTCTTCAGTATACTTACCCATCCGGCGTTGGTGTGTACGAGGCCATGCCGCGAGGGATTCCAATATTCATTAAAAAACTGGGGAACAGAAATGCCAAGGAAAAGAGAAAGCCCAGTAATAATGAGGTTCCTCATTGAATTCATGTTTGTGAATTGAAGAAATGATAGTCCAACAGCAGCTGGAAGAGGCAAGAACTTGTCATCCAAGAATATAAACAAGAAGGGAGGAAGTAAATAATAAATAAATAAATAACATTGGCATACCAACAAGGCCAAAGAGAATGCAGTATAGTGCACCAAATATTGGGAATGGTATGGATGCAAACACAGCCCCAAATTTCCCTGTGAAAAGATTAAGAGTGCATTAAAATTTCATTATAAACATAGCTCTAAATATTGGCTTAGCATCTCTAATTCCTAAAACAAGTCTACCTGTTTTAATTAAAATTTGAAATTTGAAAAAAATCATGTACAAATTTGGCTGAGAAGTACGAGAATACCAACCTAAGGTAGAAAAAAATATCATGAAGCCAGCCGAAATCTGAACAACTCTGCGACTTCCGACCCGAGTTAGTCCAAGGAGTCCTACGTTTTCCCTGAAACACAACCAAATCTATGACTTTCACATCGAATCTGTCCTACATATACCATTTGACCCAGTCCCAAGTTATGACCAGAATGATATAAAAAGTGACAAAGGATACAAGAGGCTGCACAGAGTTAATTAAAAGTGTTCCTTACACAGAAACAGTGGAACCAGTTCCTGTTCCGAAAAGACCATCAAGCAATACACCAATGCCCTGCCAAAGCAACAGATATATCATTTAACTCATAAATTAAGCAAACAATCCCAGAAAAAAAGGGTTAAAGAACAGTTGTCAATGTAATTAATGTCCAAGTTCAAAATTTTTACAGTCTTGATGATGTTATCATCTCCTAGATGCTAGAGTGAAATAGGAGTTAGCAAATGCAAACAAAAGAAAGTAAATCTACAAGAATGTTAAATCAACTTACCTGCCAGCCAATGCCTCTGCTTAATACATAAGCAGGAGGTGGTGTGGCAATAGCCAACCGAGATGCTGCCTTGTATGCACCAGTTGACTGCAGCATAAAATATTTAACATTGTGCATCAATTTTACCAAAGATGGTAGTTATAGGACTAAAAAGTTTCTTAGACAATCCTTTGAAACACAAGTATACATTTTGGCAGCATCAGTGCAGATTTTGATACTGGCACATTTGGATATCTCGAACAGCATAATAACAAGCAACCAAAACACGACAATCTTGTGCTACTTATTGAAACTTAAGACATATATACCTCAACCATAGACACAAGAACTGCAGACATCATAGCAAATGAGTGACCAGCTGAAAAAGTTGGTGGGCCCCACTGCAGAGGGTATGGAAACTTGAACCTGAAGTAGCATCGCAAATGAAGTCCAGAAGCCGAAATCATAGTAAAAATTTAAACAATTGGAGTTGGGATTTTGATATACCATGGAGCAGTAGATATAAGATTTGCTCTGTCTGTACGACAACTAATTTGAGTTCTAATTGGCTTGTCCCTGTATGCCCCACTGGCAGTTAAAATAACGGAATAGATCCAGATGATTGTGGTACATATCAACACCGGAAATCGTTCAAATATTGGGAGTTCTCTTAATAGTCTCACATGCTTCAGATACTGAAATGCCAAAATCAAAACTTCATGGAGAGGAAAATACAATCCTAGGGTCAGAACTCAAATTATAGAACATCACTTACTTGTGAAAATCCAATAACCAACAAAAGCATTGGCAATCCAATTTCCACGCAATTGCCCAACTGAAAAATGATACCAAGTGTGAAATTCTTAAAGAAACTAGCAGAAAGAATGGTACAAGAGGAATTGAGTGCCTATCAGTTATTGTGACTGCAATGAATCACATATGCATGACGCATGTAAGCACATAACAAGTCTCTACATTTGATCTCTTATTGAAAAATTAATGGAAATGGTGAACAAAAATTAAGAAAAACCTATCATGAATTACATTTAAGAGTAAGATTCTACAGCATTTTCAATAGAATACTATATTGAGAACTGATATGCTAGATTTTGTGAGGCATAAACTGATAACACAAATGTTGGGATCCATAACTACTACTATAATTTAGTTTTAGTCCCCAAGATACAAAAAACGGAATAGGAAAAATGCAACCTGAAGGGTTAGGCTAATATATGTCAAATCAAAAGAGTACATACTGTAGGAAATCCTTGTTGAAACAAGCCCAAACCAACCAATCCAACCACAGGTGCCATACCGAGAGGACTGAAAAACCTGAAAATACATAAAAAAAAAACACTGAACAAAGAGAAACATTGAATTGCTTAATCATTTAATTACACCTTTAATACTGGTAATATACCTTGAAAAGAGACCCCAAACTTGGCTGTAACCCAATATGATTTGTATGCTTGAGGCCACAATCAAAGCTCCTTGGATAGCCCGCATTGTTTGTATAAATCTCTGCAAACCAATCACATGGGAAGATCTCTTTCAATACCCTATCAAATAAAAGAGTTACTGAGAACAATTTCTGAAGAGGAAATAAGATTCTTGGACTGGGGCTAAAACTATATCATGAAGATGACAGCTCAAGATTATAACAAACAACCTAAGAGCATGCAGTAACAAGACATTGGGGATTCGACAGGTGACTCCGTTTAACGAGATTAGCTTAAATTTAAGCTGCCACATGCATTCTCTGCTTAATGGCTAACCTTTTTCAGGTTTGAAGGAAAAAACTCAGCTCTATGGATATGTCCAAAGGTAAAATTCATCCTCAATTAGTTCTATGAGTATTCAAAGGCCACAGAATAAGTTTTATGAAATATTGTTTACACGGTTGGCTGACATTAACCAAAGAGCAGAAAGAAGACTGGTAAAACTTACTTCATGATGATCAGTAATCTGTTGCAATGAGGAGTCATTTATAATATAGGCTACAGGAATAACATAAGCAAAGGACCCTCCAACCACCGCTGGCAACCTGGTTCCAAAAAGTGCTTGTAGAAGTGTGTTAATGCCAGCTACAAAAAGCAGAGTTTGTATCACCCGTGCTTTGTCCCCCTGGTTGCACGAACAATGATGTTGTCAAAAAAAGAAGAAGAAGAAACAAACAAAAACAAGGGCAAATTAAAAAAAGATACCCAATCTATATATATATGAACACAGGGACCCTCATTTGCGTGATGCCATTAAGACTCTTAATATACAAGGGAATTTCAGATATGATAAGAACTACATAATAAAATTACACGTTCTACTAAGTAAATATTCTAGGCCAAAAACCATTGGCAAACAAATACTGCATATACCCAATATACAGTGGATCGTAGAATTTGGAGAAGGAAAATAAAAATCAAAATGAATGATCAAAGAACAAAAACCCATATAACATAGTTGAATTTCATCTCTGTTAGTAGCATATATGGGAAAGAACGAGTTTTGGGTTCAATCAAAAGCTTACAGTTCCATTCCAGCACCCTCAATATTCTAAGTAAGAACCAAAAACGCAAGCATACAAAACTCCAAGTTTACAGCGAAAGAGAGGTAGTTAAGCAGAATAACATGCTTACGTCACTGCCACCCATCGCTGGAACGAGCAATGAAGGGATCATTACACTTGTACCCAACATCAGAATGTAGTTTTGAAACGCTAATATGATGGTTTCAGCTGCAACACCAAAAACATTTGGTCACAATATTAGCCATTAAAGAAGAAACATTAACATATGTCTATCTGATACTTATCAACGATCAAATGGGAAATCTTTTAATACTTTAAATTGAAATATTCCTATCTATTCAGAACACTCGACAAACCTTCCACTTACATTAAATACATAAAATATTTCTCAGTAGCCAAACAAAACATAAAGAATTCGAAATTCAAAACTTAAGAACCAAAACTAAATGCTTGTAATTTCATTTGCTCAACAAGTTCATTAATTAGTCCAAAATTTCCTCAGCCAAAATTTCTGTATGAACCCACTTTAAAATTCGAAAAGAAAAAGCACACGAACACATTCTCTACTCATAGTGACACAGGTTTCCTGTTCTTTTTTTAAAAAAATATTTTTCCTTCTCTCTCTGATTGTATTCAAGTTTATAATGCCACAGTTTCCTGACTCATACTTAAGCAAAAAACAAAAAATACTAACGATAACGAGGTATGGATGAATGATGACGATAAAGAATGAACAAGTTGAAACAGTTACTCAATAAGCATAAAAATGAAAGAGATGAAACAAAAAATTGGAAAAAAGAAAAGAAAAAACAGAGAGAGCCAGCACGAACCCCAAGGAGGGTTAGAGTCTATGCAGTACTCAAGGTCTTGAAGCTGTTCCATAGGAGGGTGAGTAATGTCTGTCACTGCCATTACTAAAACTTCTTCGTTCGATAGATTAACAGAAAACAAAGAAAAAGAAAGAAAGGAAGGAAGAAAGAAAGAAGAAGAGGAACTAAGAACAAAGTAAAGTCCAGATATAAAGTAAACAAAAGTTAGCAAAAGAAGAAAAAAAAAATAAACGAAAAAGAGAAGAGAACAATTTGGAAAGCCGAAATCAATCTCTCTCTCTCTCCTCTTCTGCCTTCGATAAGCCTCTCCTTCCGAAATTCAGTTTTTTTCAAATTTCAAATTCGCCCCTAATTATCTGTTACAATTACCAAATAGCCATCCAGTGGGAGTATCGGCACCGGTCCCACATTTCTCCAAACGGTCAAATCAAAGACAACGATGATTATTCTACAGTCTAACGGTGTCGTTTTACCGGGGAAAAAATGAAGAGAACAATTGTATCCCAAGCCAACAGTGATCATAAAGATTTTGTGACGTAGGTGGTGGTGGCCCACTGACTGCGATATTATTGGAAAATCAAAGAAACCCGGAGGAGAGTTGATAAGGGCCCTCTGATCTATCTATGGAGTAGGACCCACAGTATTCATGCAGAGGTTCCAAGAATTGCACTGGCAGAGAGAGGGGACAAAGTTGGTAGGTGTTCAAAATGAAAGACCATCTTAATTGTTCTCAGGTGTGTAGTAACTCTAGCGATGTTGATCGAGTATGCTACCCCTTTGGGTAACCGTGCCCATGACCGTTGGATCACGTTCGGTGAATCATGGCCATCCTTCTATCGAGCCTCTTTTTTTAAAAAAAGTTTTTAAAATTGTTCATCAATGAAAATAAATAAATTATAAAACTGATTACTTTTTATAATAAATTTGGTGATAAAAAAACTTGTAAATAACTCAAAAAAATAATTAATATACAAATATTATAAAAATAATAGACTATTTTTTTTTTTTGAAAGGAAAAATAATAGACTAATGCATTGAAATAAAATAAAAATATCCATCTGAGTCATGTAACACCATTTATAGTGCTATAGCCATAGATTGAATCTACGACTACGCCCAGCATCATTTATATTCTTTAGCTACCGCCGCTACCACCAAACATTGCTCAACTAGTGTTATTTCAATGTAGGATTTTTTTTTTTCTTAAATATAATATTAAAACTATGGCATCACTCATCTTTTTTAATATACTCGCAATTGTCACTGTTACCAAATAAATATAAGAGCAAAAATAATTATATTAATATAATATTTAAAAAAAATAAAATAAAATGTGTGTGATAATTATCGACGTATTGATTATTAAGATCATAAGTAATTTAGTTGTTTTAGTAGCTATTTATTGTTTTAGTAACTATCAATTATTTTACTGACGTTTCATCAAATGGGGTCTACCTTACAGTACCAGTCGTTAGTTGTTTTAATAGCTATTGACTCTTAAATATTAGTCGTTAACTTTTTATATTGCAGTTTAAAATTAATGTGTTTGATAAAAATAATTATTTAATCGACTATTAAATTTAAAATAACAAAAAAAAAAATTAAAATATTGACTTAAAATTTTAAATTACAGCAATAGAAGTCAATCCATTATAGTGTGAAGTCACCATATACAAACTTACTGTATTCATTCTTTTTGAATATTTCATCTAATCTTTTTCTATTTATTTTCTTCTTTTAATCAGAGGGCGAAAATCTTTTACATTATACGGCTGGATGGAAATTACACATTTTGATTATAAAAAAAAAATTATTATACCAACAAAATAAGCAAATTAAGAAAAGTAAAATTGGTTGATAAGACGTGATTCAAGAGTTATACTAATTAAAAACTATACCAAAAAAGAAAAAAACAATTTATAACTTGAAACGATACAATTTTGTGTTATTTTTATTTTCCAAATATTGAAATTAATTTCTTTATCATAAAAGTTGTGCCTTTGACTTTATCAAATCATAGAGAATTAACTTTCTTTTATAAGTCCTGAAAGTTCTTTTTAAACCAATCTATTAATTTGACACTTGTGGGACATCACATGTTTCGTTGGACTTCCATGTCCTTAATTTGCTAGTATTATTTTATTTGATGTTCTTACAGTTCTCATTGGCTTTCCCTTTTAACCAAATAAAAAAAATTTGTATGAAAACAAAATTGGATAATCAAGAATTACAACCAAGTGAGAAAAGGAGATGGACCTTCAACACCTTTCATGACCAAAACATGTACAAAATGGTTGCATGATCTACTAATACATCTTAACCCTATTAAGTCTAAATGAGCAATTACTTCATCAAATTTATTAAACCTCTCCACCACCGCTAAGTACGTTTTTCTTTTTTTAAATCCAACAAAATGCATTCCTTGAATCCAACTCAATAATTAAAACTGTATTTTTAAATTCATGGCATTAAGAATTATAAGAAGTTCAACTTCATTAAAATCTGAAGTGCCAACAAATTGGCAGAATACGCAAACCACCAAACTATTGATTTTCTTAGCATACCTCCAATATCAGTCGAGCCTGATTTTCCCTTCTATAGCACCATCAATATTAAATTTCAATTTTCCTTCACAAGATTTTTCCTAAGTAGGATGTATGACATCGCCCACACTATAAAACAACAACTTCCAAATCTCATAAGTTCTCTTATGAAAGATTAAACTTTCATATTGCCAACTTAACTCAACCAAATTATTACGAAAGACCCCACCAAATTCCACTAATTAAAAACAGACAACCATACTTTTCTCGCAACTTCAAATAGTAGCAAAAAATGTCCCAAATTACAAAAAGGACACATTTTGAAAGACTTTTCTTATAAATAAGTTTACTTTATAAGGGACTTTGTTTAAGAACACTCTCCAAGCAAAAAATAGTCACTTTAGATGAAATAAGGGAAGACCATAAACCTTTAAAGTTAAACTTTAGTACTCTTCTTCAAAACTTGTAGGTCACGGATCCAAGGTATTTCCCATTTCCTTCTTCCCTTAGTAACCATTGGAATAATTGTTTCTACCAAGTCAAATAAATAAATTCACCATATATCTTTTACAATTTTGTGATATTCTAAATTTTACGAGTATTAGTAGACTCCTTAAGTTACGGATTTAGTAATATTACACAACTGTTCATGTTATTGATAATAATTTTAAATTTTTTAACTTTTATGTGCAAAATATTAATTTGACGTGTCATTATTATAACTTTTGAAATAATAGTTTTCGCTTTTTCAATTATACAACAAGTGTTTAATCAATCTAACAAATTGAAGCATTCAATAGAATGGTTGCAAGTTAAAATATTTAATAGGTTTAAAATGTTCAATTGGTTAAAGTAAAAGTCAATAGGACCACAACAATTTTCCAAAAAAGATTAATATATACATATTTAACTATTGTTGTCACTTATGTATAATATCTTTAGTAGCGTTTAGCTGTTATTTGTTTGAGTAGTTTTTCATAAAACGTTAAACATTAAACGTTACATGAGTTAACTTTTTATAAAACGTTATTTTAATCTCTAAAAATTAGTTTAAATTATATGTTACCGACTGATATAAAAAATAACGTTTGACGTTATGATCGGTCAAAATGCTGAAAATGTACTTAAAAAACTGTTCAACACAACCTTATTGTAATAACAAGTGTATGTTAAATATACATTAGAAATTTAACTATCAAACGTAATTATTTTGTTAGTCTACAAATATGAAACTAACTATTTCTACGTCGAAGTGGCAAAACGGTGAATAAGTGGCAAAAGAGTGGGCAAATGGATTGGAGGGGACAAGGCAAAGTCAAATAAGCGCGCGTGTGGAGATGGGTTTGGCTTTCGGCGGTTCTCAGAAAACATTCTGACGATCACGACGACACATTCCGAAAATCCGATTCCCATCAAACCGTAACCCATTTCTAACGTTATTTCCTCTTTCATTTTCAAACCTCTCAAGATAAGAATCTCTTCTCACTGCCACCACCATATCATTGCACTTAAAACATTACCCTTTCCCTTTTTATTTTCTTTTTACTAATTTACAATTTAAATTTCAATTCTGCTGGATATATATAATTGGTCATTCGTACTTTAATTTAGTGATTGTGAAAAATAACGGAATTTATTTATTTATTTGAAAATAAATATTACTATCATATATTGCTTAAAATCAAATTTCTTTCAAAAAAAATTTCAAATTAGAAAATGTGAAAAATAGAAGAAGGGCATAAATCCCGCTCCATCTCGTCCGACGTAAAAATAATACCGGCGGCAATAATATAAGCTATCTGATTTGCTAATTTCTTAACAAAATATAAGAGATCGGGAAGAAGATAGCTTTTGTGCAAAATCATCGATGTCTTAAGACAATCAACTTCCATTTCCACGTCAGTAGAAAGCCAACATACCCTTGCATGCATAGTTACATTGGACAAGAGCATGCAGATTATCAGTTTTTACTATTAAAGGAAATGTTGTTTTATTAATAGAAGTAAACGGAAAAAGATCATTTTATTCATTTCTCATGGATAAAAAAAGAACATTCTTATTAATTGGGTCAAACTATGGATGACAAAATCAACCCAATCCAATGGTTATACACTCACTCCGAATCTAGTCAAATCCGAATTTTAGGATTTTGATTAGATTTGGATAAATCTGGAAGTTTCATTTCGGGTATGATAAGGTATAGACATTGCTATAATAAACCTGATCCCGTACTCGAAATTCAAATCTCTAAAGATTTAAAGGTTAATTTTTTTTCAAATTATAATATGAAATTTTTAATAATTTGGCTACTTATAATAAATTATCTATATAAATTATAATTTTACTTTTAATTTAATGAACTATAATGCAATATAACTTCACTCTAGTTTTCATATATTAATTTGAATTGGTCAAATAAATTTGGCTACTTATAATAAATTATCTATATAAAATTAAATTTTACTTTTAAATTTAATTGAAACTATAATGCCAATATAACTTCCACTTAGTTTTCATATATAATTTGAATTGGTCAAAGTTTTTTTTTAAAATTTAAGTTTTTTTTTTTTTTTTTTTTTTTGGATATATGGAGAGGTTAACAGACCAGAATAATTTTTTTTTTTTTTTTTTTTTTTGGATATATGAGAGGTTTAACAGACCAGAATAATATTATGCGCTGCACAAGAGGGGGCAGCCCTCCCTTTTAAATGACATTCACTAAATTAGTGATAATTTTGTGGTGGAGAGGATTCGAACTCGAGACCTCTCACTCCCTACATCTATTGCGAAAGGTAGGAAGACCGATCAGATCACACATGATCGATTTAAATTTCAATTTTAAATAATTGAGAAAAATCATAATGATAAAAATGATTTGGTGTTTCATATAATAATATTTTATGTTTGATGATTTTGTTACGTGAATTTTTTAGTTATTCTATTAATTGATTATTATTATAATTACACTTGGAGAGTTTGTTACCGTTACGTTTGAGTGAAATATTATGATAAAAAGAACAACTTTGAAATTAAAAATTTAATTTATCATTGTTCGAACATTTATTTACGTGTTAGTTTATTTTCATACTTTTTACGTATTATATAACTCATTTAGACAAATACTTTAATTTTTTTTAATTCAATACAATATAATTTTTAAATAATATGATCCAGTGGATAAATGAATATCCATGGTAATAAATACTCATGGGTACCCACAGATGATAGGTACCCTGGATATACCCAAATCCGTCGGGTTTAAGGATAGGTATAATATTCTCTATTCGATAGGGTATTGGGTAAAGTATGAGAATTGAGGATGTGATGAGGTTTGAGTATGGGTATTGCATTCCCGAATTATATATATAATAATAATATTATTATATATATAAAAATATAATTCTATTTATTACTACTAATATTTTTTGAAATATAATTAATAAATAAAATTCAAAATATTTTAAATATAAATATATATTATAATAAAGTGTAAAATTATAAATTTTGAAAAACATAAATTAACGAGAAAATAAGTAGGATATTTGCATCTTCTTTTTTATAGCTCACTGAAATTGCAAAATCCATTTTATTTTTATTCGGACTCATAATCAAATAATAGGGTTTTTAATCTCATTTAAGTTTTAAACTATACGGGAAGTGGAGAGCTGGATCAAGGAGAAACGTTATTCTTGGATTCAGGTTGAAAGTGATTTTTTACTGTTATTTCAGGCTGTTAACGGTAATGCTCTTAATCTGTCTTATTTTGGTTCTTTAATTAATGATTGTAAAGCTCCACCGCGGGAGTTTCCTTTTCTTTCATTGTATTTTGTTAAGAAATTAGCGAACTGAACTATTCATTCGATTGCTAGGGCGACTAGTTCTATGTCTGATGTGATTGAAAGAGAACGTATCCTCCAACTTTTCTAGTTGATGTTCTTCAGTTATTTAATAAAGTTACTACTTCATTGAAAAAAATTTTAATATAAAATTCAAAATTAAAAGAGAAGAAAAAAAAAATAGAGAAATTGGCCACATAGTGGATAAAATATAGGGTTTAGATACCTGTGGTTAAAAAAAAAAAAAAAGTTTTATGGAGAGATTTTCGACTCATGGCTAAGGCTGGCTGGAAGATTTGAAGGATCATGCGATCCATATAAAGAATAAATGAACAAAAATGACAAAAAAATTGGAGAACAGCTAACAAGTAGCAACTGTTAGCTGCTGCAAAACTATGGAAGTTTGGCCCATTAGATGTAAATTGAAGTCGAACATATGTAGGGATGATTCCAAAATTATTTTATTGTGACCAATATTTCTTTTATTAAATGTATTTAATTTTTATTTTAACATTTGTTTGTAATTATACATTTGCTCTAATTTGAAATCAAACAATCTTGGAAATATTTCTTTTATTTGCAATTGCATCAATAATTGCAATTCAGTAATAATTTTGATAATGATGTTTATACTTCTCATGATATTTTATACTACAACTCTACAAAAGTGACTTTTATGTACTTCAAAAAAAATTATTCTAACAAAAGCCCTAAAACTGAATCAGAACAAAAAACAAAAAGGTGATAAAAGTTGCTGGGCACCATTTGGCGAGTCATGTGGTTATCAAAGTCAATTAGTGGAATCATACAGCCAGAAATTTCTAGGGTCATAAGGGTTTGGTTTTCAATAGAACTGGTTCCAAACTTGGTTAAAAAAAGATTTCTTTGGTTTGGCAACTGACTGCAACTAGTCAGAACAGTAACTGGCTGGCTCGTTCATTCCTGGATTGGCCTATCGCCCTAACTCCAGCTTCCAGCAGAATCAGACCGGTTCTGGTTTGGTTGGGAATCTTGGCAGGGTCTGGCTGAGTGAGAGAGTATTCATGGATACAGTCAATTAAAAGCCACTCATGCGATGCAAGTTTCATCACCTTTGATTTGAAAATCAACAAGTTGGTAACAACAAAATTATTGCACCAATTTGGTGTTTCTCATGATTCTATTATTCTACTTCTTTGTCAGGTCCAACATAAATGGTATAGCATACTGAAATTAGAATAAGTAAACATCCAACCAGACCACCAAACGATGGAGATATCCTTGAAGAACCAATGCCCCACAACTGTGACAAGGCAGCCTGAAACATAGGCAAGAAATGATTTATGTAATACAGGATTATATTACAACCTTGATAACAATTCATTAATGCATACGACCAGAAGTATAAAGTTCTGAGAGAAATATGAATTACAAAAAAAACCTATATCTGTCGACAGCTGAGAAGAATGTGTAGGAAATTAACTTAAAATTAAATTAATAATAAAGCAGGCGATTGCTCCTCTTATTTTATAGACAGGTAATTTAGTAGTTATTTTCAGTATTAAGCAGAAAGCAAGGGAAGTATAGAACATAAATGGTAACGCACTTCAAGCTCCTAATGCAACTTGCAAGAAGTAAGAGAGAGAGAACAAAATGGTACCTCAATGTACTGGACATTTGCAGCTCTGCTGGTCTTCTCTAGCTGGAGTCCACGAGCTAAAAACACCTGGAATGTAGCAAAAATGCTTAGAAGTGAATAAGTACCAGTCAAACTTATGGTGAAAACAAAATGCCATTTTTCATCAGTTTATGTTGAAATTACTGCATATGTAAGCAGCAGCTCTGTGAAGCAAGGAGGTAAATTATATTTTAAAGAAGCACCTCTACAAAGAAGGCCAGAACACCCAGTATGAGCATGAGAGTGAATGAATATAGATCTGGCAACACAAATTCCTGCAATACAAAAAAAAAAAAAAAAAAAAAAAAAAAAAAAAAAAAAAAAAAAAAAAAAATTCCCTGCAAGTACAAATAAAAAAAAAAAAAAAAAAAAAAAAAAAAAAAAAAAAAAAAAAAAAAAAAAAAAAAAAAAAAAAAAAAAAAAACTTATTTAGGAACACTAACATTATGTTTGGATTAGAGAAAAGAAAATAAAGAGAGACAATATAGAGAAAAGGAAAAAATTTGAAGGAACAAGTTGTTTTCCTTCCTTGTGTTTGGATATAAGAGGAAAATAAAATTATTTTTCCTTCACTAATTCATTGTTATATTATTTTCTATCCTCCCTCCAATTCAGTCAGAAAATTTTGGAAGGATATCTTCCAAAATAAGGGAAAATAGCATTCCCTTATTATTGTCTTTAGCTTTTTTTTTCCCTCCATAACTTACCTCCATCCAAACATGGCCTAAAAGACAGAAGAGTCTATAGACCACATAGTTAACACATAAAAATGATGAAAATTAATGATTTCTACTGGTAGTGATTAGGCCTCCCGACACTTAGGGCATGTTTAGTTTCTCTAGAAAAGGAAATAGAATACAATTCCTAAAATATGAGTCAATTTTCTTGTTGGATACACAAGGAATCAAATTAGGAGTCTAATACCTCGATTACCATTAGATTATACTTGGTAACATCAAATATGAAATTGGAATAGGATATGCAGACTTTCATTTTTCATTATAATTCCATCATCAAGGTGAATTGCACATGCACTAAGTCATACATACAATTGTGCCTTCAGATTCTGCCATGGGTTGTCATCCAATACCCAGCAGCCATTTGCAGGCATCAGGGAGGAAGCAAACCAAGAAATCCTTTTTTTAAAAGAAAAAAACAGAAATATTAATGAAATTATCACAATTTCTTATCTGTGATTTACGAAGTAACATATATATATTTTTTTATGTAAGGAATAATTTAAAAACAAATGGTCATTCGTTCGGCTTGATCAGGTTGAGCAGGTCTTGATTTCCATCATTTCCTGTGATAACCGCAACCTCGTCAAAGAGACTAGGCTACATGAAGTCTTCTGTGACATCCTACTGAGTCGAGTCTTTGCATAGAGTAGAGTCGAGTCGAGTTGATTTGAGTTGAACCAAAACCCGGTTGGGGTAGAATGGGATTATTAGAGGACTTACTTGAATGAGAGAAAACAAAAAGATTAAAGTATAAGGAGTAAGACTTACTTGCACTAAAATATAAAGTTTAGGTATTAAAATGTAACATATGGAAAATATAGGTACTATTTGATAATTTTAACATACAATCAAAGAGATATTTGGAGAGTACACGACCTTAATTTCATTTTCCCTTTCTTCATCTTCGTCTTCATCTTCCTCTTCATCTCCTTCATCTTTCTCTTCGTCTCCTTCCTTTCTCCATCAATTTTCATGTGATTCAAACACTAAATTCAACCTAGAACTCTATCCAAGTAAGTAGCTTTTCTTGAATTTCATAATTTAGTGATATTTAGATGATTTATAAGAGTTATGATGTAAAGGAGAGGGGAGCTCAAAGTTGGAGGAAAAGGAAGCTAAGAAGAAGATTTAAAGCTCTTTTGGTTGAAGGTTTGATATCTCTTTTAGTTTTTCACATTTTCTTTCATGAACACTTCTGTAGTGTGTGGATAATGCAAAGATATGTTGCTGAATGTTGAATTAGAGGTCTGTAAATGGTGATAAAGCATGGGATGAATTGAATTAATGAAGTAAATAGTGAGTTTATGTTGAAACAGGTTTTTGCTGGAAATTTTACCAGTAACTTCATCTTGATTTTGACCCCATTTAATGATGGAATTAGGAAGTGTCATACAAGAGTTATTTGTTCTTCATTGTGTTAGCTTTACGTGGGTTTTTGAATCATCCAAATCGGAGTTGTATATTGAGAGATATAATCAAAAGAGTACAGACTGTGCAGGCTGGAAGACGCGACACGCGCGCGCGAATTGCATGACAAGTTCGCGATGCACTTCTCGCGCTCGCGAATTTGAACTACGCGCTGGCGACTTCCACCTGAAACTCTCTGTCTCTCATTTGACACATCTCGTGCTCGCGACTTTCAAGTGCACGCTCGCGACTTGTGCTCGCAACCTCTCTGACTCTCATTTGGCATTTTCATTTTGCACACTACGCGCTCGCGACTTTCAAAGTACGCGCTCGCGACTTGTGTTTTCATGCACTTTGGACTTCTTTTTCAATGCAATTGTATTCCTTTGCTTCACTTACATGCCTCCAATCATCTTAATACAAAAATATAACATTAAATCATGCATCAAAACAACATTTAAGCATACAAATGATGTGATATCAAATGAACATTATGGATTATGAAATAATTATGAACTATTCATGTGATATTGTGTTCTACTATTGACATACCAACATATGCTCCATTGAGGTTAGGTAGAAACCATGTAGATAAGACCATGTCGCGACGTAGGATAGCAGATCTGTACCTCATACAGTTTGGTACTCCGGCTAAAGGCCGTTGAGTGGATATGATTATATATGGGCCATAGCAGCCAAGCATATATTATTCATACAGTTTCATACAGTTTTTCTTATCACTTCGGTTTCACTATAACCTTATGGAGCTATACAGATATCTTGATTTATCATTTATCTTGACATAACATTTCATGAATCATACAGTCTTATCACCCAGTACGAAAGATAATCAAGGTATAAGGAAAGGATCATGCTATATGTGCTTATATGTTTAGTTATCCATATGCATTTACATGCTCATTTTATCTATGTATGTGCTTAACTGTTTCTTTATGTGTTGAGATATCCACTGAGCTTTATTGCTCAGCGAGTTACCTGTTTAACTCGCAGGTTTTGAGATTGGACCGTAGAGAGTCAGCCTGCAACTGCTGCAGTTCATCTGTAGAAGACTCAGTATTCAGGGTAGCTACTCATTTGGATATGTATTTTTTTGTCTACCCTTTTTATGGCATGTACAGCACACATGGCCCATTCATTTTGTAAACTAAGGTATCATGTCTTGTTAAAAACATAAGTACATATATTTTTGTAAACAACAATCAGAATGAAATTATATTCCAGTATAACATATATTTCAGCATGCAGCCATACAGTCCAACCAGTTTTGTAGCATCTCGACTCGGTTATTCGGGTAATCGGGTGGGACCTGGGAAAGGGTGTTACCAGGGAACAAACAACATTTATACAGTCAACCAGTTTGTAGCATCTCGACTCGGTTTATTCGGGTTAACGGGTGGACCGGGAAGGGGTGTTACAGGACAAACACATTACAATTACTGTTGTATTTAAATCTTTCTTATAATTTTAGCTTCTTTTCGGTTTTATTAATTTTAGGTGCCTTAAAGCATTATTAGGATGCCTGTTTTTAGTAATTTGTATTGATGTTTCATTGAGGTTTCCATGCTTTATAAAACATACTTCTCATTATATTCCATTCACATTGTTGAATTAGCAAATTTTTGAATCTTTCTTTTATCTCTAATGGAATACACACTGAATCTGCTTCTGGATTCAAGTATATTTACATGAAGCAGTGTTGAATTGAGGTGTGACAGTTTTCATGGCATATTATGAAGTTTGGAACAATCTCTTCAACAACGCAAATGATAGAAAGAAAACATGCAAAAGTAAATTTTATTGACTGTGATACTATATATGGTACTAATTTCACACGATAAAATATTGCTTACGATCAATCAATCAATAAACATTTTCTTAAATTTAAAGATATGCTTTATTCACACAGACTAATTTTGGCCTCAAATAGACAGGAAAAAATATCAGTAAAATATAACATAAAAATTAAGATATTAGAACCCTCAGCATATAATAAAAATCAATCTTAACTTAACACTGTGACATTCAATACTCAAGCATCCAGAGACAAATAGTTGGAACTAGCAGTTAAACCTTATATATTAACAATGCTATGGAACTTACCTCAAATACAAATGTACATATTCCTGCAGCAGGGGTAGAGAGCAAGCCAAATGAAAAAACAGTGACCCTGAAAAAAAAAGCACATACTTCAAGAGAAAGTACATATTTATATATTTTAAGACACCAAATGAGATAGGATACCAGTTGCATATAAGAATGTAGCTAGTGGTGCTAGTGGTGCTAGTGGTGATTAGGGCTGAGCAAACGGGTTTGAACCGAACCGAAGCCACAAAATATAAAATGAAGTTTCTTTACAATTAACCGAACCGGACCGAAGTGTGTATATGAACCGATCCAGTTGGTTCGGTCTATTTTTGTCGGGTTTTTATCATTTCGGTTCGCTTCTAAGCCCAACTGCCGAATATTTGAGTAACCGAATTGAACCGAGCAACAAATTCGGTTCAAACCGAACGAACGAATGAACCAAACCTCTCTTGGGCATCAAACCGAACGAACCGAAATGAGTCGGTTCGGTTCGGTCGGTAATTTTGCTCACCCCTAGTGATGATGATCAATTGTGTGACAATCAGAAAATAAAGTTGCTCTAAAGGATATAACGACAATTGCACCATCATAAGCAGACGACAAATCATGTATATCTAATCTAGCACTGTGATCGATAACATCTTATTTTCAGATCAACCAAAACCATTCATAAATCTTACAGAGGCTGATCAGATGCCTTTGCCCCAGCTTTTATAAGGCAGTAGCTGATTCCACCAGTTATGGATGAGAGCAGACCAAGCAATACTGCATATAAATGGTGGCTTCCCCTTATAGTTCCATTGAATCCAACCCGCCTCTCTGTCATAATAATGTAAACAATAAATGAACAGTTGTACCAGAAAATAGAAGCACTGCAACTGGAGAGGAAAAGAAAGGAAAGAAAGGGACAGGAAGTGGAAGGTCCACTGAAGCATGCAGAAGAGAACAAATCCACCATACATAAAATTATAGGAAAAAAAAGCTCAAGAAACCTCAAAAGGAAAAAAGAAGTAAAGGGCACATGTATTATTCCCCATTACAGGCCTATTTCTCCCATGCATTGTATCTGTTCCCACAGACTAATGTTTTTGCTAGTACAAGAATGAACAATCAAATTGATGAAAAATAATCTGTTCTCTGGGATTTTTTTTTCCCTTGCAGCACAACCTCTTCATAGGATCCAAATCAAATAATTGAAAAGAAGAGTGACGACGGTTCAAGAAACACTTCAATTGTCTTCTGATTTCAAGCAGAAAGACCATTAGCACCATTTGCATTAAACAAAACACGTATGAATAGGGCATGAAACAGCCAAAAGGCACGGGGATCCTTATTTTGTTATAGACATAATTGATAAACAGCAAAATTACAAAGAAATTCTTCCAAGTCCAGATATTCTTTAAGCAAACATTCTCAGCACAGGATAGGTAACTCACTTCTCTACCTTGTGTTCTAAGTATCTCTCTATAAATAAAGAGCATGCCAAAGAAACTGCAAGCAAGACCTGGAAAACGAAAGGCAGTTAGTAAAATAATCATTTCCCACCCAACAAATACTACTTTTAACTGGAGGGTGGGGAAAGTGAATGAACACCCAACCCACCGCCCACCCCCCCTCAACCCACCCAATTGACTAGCTTATCCAGTAGACCAGGTAAAGAAAAAAGAGTAAAAAGAATAAAATGCTGCATACCTCCAATATCTGAAATTTTTAACTTCTCACAGAACATCATCTTCGCCACAATTGATGCCACAATTGGAGTTGTAAAATTTAATACAATAGCCTGAGACAAGGGTAACCTCTGAATGCTGAAAGAGCAAAAACAGGAGGCCAACTAATAGTTATTACAATGCTGTGCTAGTTAGTCAAAGTTCTGAAAGATAAAGTTCAAAATCAAATAAAGAGATTTTGGAAGCAAGGCAGTGAAGACAGTGAGAATTGGTCAGCAAGCAATCCCAAATACTCTGTAACTAAATGCAGGAGCAAGTACATAAGATGGAACTGACCAATAAATAAAACTCAGCAACGAGATATATCCCACTAAGGCTCTCAAGAACAGAAGTTTCCTAGCATGTGCTGCTCCAAAAATTGGCTGTCCACTTCTTCTCAACCACACATATGATAATATCAATACTATTGCGCATCTTGTAAATGCACTCTCAAACAAAGGTATTGACCGAGCTGCCATTACAAATTACAATTTAAAAAAAGCATAAGCCATTAAATTCTGACTGAAAGTAACAACTACTGCTGATAAAATATTATTTAAAGAAAGAACAAGGCAAGGCTACGCATGATGGTACTCTATATTATTAAAAAGCTTTACCAGCTACCGTCCTTTCTGCATTCATCACTGTCCAACAGAAAACCCAGGGAGACAAGGGCTAAACAAAGTGCAAGTAAGGTACTGTAAGGAATAGGGGTGGCCACGGTTCCGGAACCGCCGGTTTCGGTTCCAGAAACCGAACCGAAAATTAACAGTTTTGGTTACGGTTTGGAACCGAACGGTTCCGGTTCCTCAATGGTTCCAAAATCGACGGTTCTAGCCGGTTTCCCGATGGTTCAGGCCGGTTCCGGCCGGTTTCAGATGGAACTAGAACCGTCGGTTCCGAATGGAGCTGGAAACGCCGATTCACGGTTCCAAAACTGGTGGAACCAGAACCGAACCGGTTCGGAACCGATGGTTCTGGTTCCGAAAACCGGATTTTGGCCACCCCTAGTAAGGAATCACAATGTGAAAAGTTCAAGCCACACCAATTAAACTGAACTCACAATAGAATTCTGACAATTCCAGTTTATTGATTGTCAATCACTCCCTCCTCTCCCCCCCCTCTGACAATTTCCAGTTTAATTGATTGTCAATCACTCCCTCCTCTCCCCCCCCCCACCCAAAAGGCAAAAAAAAAAAAAACCAGAAGGAAAAGAAAACCTCAAAAACATTTGCATCAAATTGATAACCCTAATGATCTAATCACCATCAACAATACAAATCGTCCTCTTTTGATGAAAATAACAGTTCAGGATCTCATATTGACAAGAATCAAGCCAAACATCAACAATTGAAAAGCAGAACGGTCTAAACTGTCTATGATCAAGAAAAATCCCACAATGATAACCTTTTTGAAGCGATCAGCCATGAGGCACAGGACCATAAACATGTTGCCTATGGCCTAATGGTTTTCAATTCTATAAGTTCGGTAGAAAGTAAACCACTTCGAAAACCAAACTCAATTCTTTACACTTTATAAACCTAGATCCGAATTATTCATTTTAAAGGGTCCCCTTTAGAAAAATATGAAAAAAGAATTAATTTCAGAAGACCCGGATTCACACTCAAAGGTAATAAACCAAAAAAAAAAAAAAAAAAAACCAGAAGGAAAAGAAACCTCAAAAACATTTGCATCAATTGATAACCTAATGATCTAAATACCATCAACAATACAATCGTCCTTCATTGATGAAATAACAGTTCAGGATCTCATTATTGACAAGAATCAAGCAAACATCACAATTGAAAAGCAGAACGGTTCTAACTGTCTATGATCAAGAAATCACAATGATAACCTTTTGAAGCGATCAGCCATGAGGCAGACCATAACATGTTGCCTATGGCCTAATGTTTTCAATTTATAAGTCGTAGAAAGTAAACCACTTCGAAACCAAACTCCAATTCTTTACACTTATTAAACCTAATGAATTATCATTTAAAGGTTAGAATATGAAGAATAATTTCAGAAGAGGATTCATCACTCAAAGGTAATCCCAAAAGAAACAACTACTCAAACTACTACAAGACAATTCTTTCTTCCCCAATACTTGTTAAATTTCACTTTAAAGCAAAGTGAAAGAACCCAAGCCAACAAGTCATAAGGAAAGCATCATTAGCAGATTTGTTTAGCTTAAGAAAGAAATTTGATTTGTTACGTGTAATTATCAGTGGATATGTAAAGGTAAGCATAGTCAATGAGGCTTGGACTATGATTAGGAAATGAATGAGGTAGGTTTTGAACTTGATAAAGTTTTATTTGTACGTGCAATCAACAAAGATGTCAGAGAACCAATTTAGATTTATGCTTGGTAGATCCACAAAGGAGGCTACTTTCCTTCCTAGAAGATTGATGGAAATTTATCGAGAAAAGAAAAAGGATCCACACACGATGTTCATTAATCTAGAGAAAGCTTATGACAAAGCGCCAAGGAAGTACTTTGATGCTTATTAGAAAAGAAAGTACATCAAAGATCTGCTTTGAGATGCTTATTTACCAGATGAGATAGCCAGTATATACAAGAGGATGTTCCTCGGTGCATGTTATTTGTAGATAATATTGTCATAATCAATGAAACTAGTGAGGGATTAAACCAAAAGTTGGAACTATGGAGGATAGCTCTTAAGGATAAGGGTTTTAGGTTAAGCAGAAGTAAGATGGAATACATGTAGCTCAAGTTTTGTTTAAGGAAGTAGTAGGAAAATGAGGTTAGATTAAATGGTACTTTCGTGCCTAAATGTAATCAATTCAAATATTTAGGTTCTACCTTCCAAAAGGGGAGTCTCATAGATGAAGATATTTCTCATAAAATTCAAGTAAGATGGATGAAATGGGGGAATGCTATGAGTGTACTATGCAATAGGAAAATTTTTTCCGACTTATACTTTGCTTTGCATTACTATTAAATTTGATAAAAGTGAATATTGGAAATAAAGGATTCATATTCCAAACTCAAATAGTTTAGGACTAAGGCTTAGTTGTTGTTATTGTTGTTTTATTTTTGCTTGTGCTATGGTTCGAGCATTAGATATAAGAAAGTGAGTTCATGCATATATTAAGAAAAAAATGTGGCTCCACAAGAATATTGAATGGATTCAATGGTCACACCAAGATAATCTAAGTCAAGGGTCACTTTTGGAAGTTTTATTTTGAAAGAGAATAAAAGCTTTCGGTTTATGATTACTTGGCTAATGACAGCTTGTTTTGCAACTAATGGTGCATTTCCAATTCCATTTTTCAACTTTTTTTTGTTTGGCTAGCGAGAAAATATAATTTTCTTGCATTTTCTTAGCAAGCAAACACGAGATAGGGTTTGAGAGAGAGTGCGACTTCAAAAACATTAATGTCATCTATGCATGAGAGGTGTCCTTATTGAGCATGGACCTTGCATATTTGCTAATTCATATTATGTGGGTGAGGTGGTAGTCCATGCCTGTGCCTCCAACAGAGTTCTTGTTTGGAAATTTTTAAACGTGTTCAATTGAAAAAGAAAAAATAAACGCTAATCATTCATCTATGTCATTAATCTTTTGTGATCAATTTAGGAATAACTTAAAAAAGTTTAGTGATCCCTAGTGTTATTTATCCATTCATAGGAAGCACGTGATAAGTGATAGGAATAAGTAAAACATTAATGATAGGGATAAGACTAAGGACCCATTTGGTTTAGTTGTTCGTGATGTGATAGTTGATAGTTGGAGTTGAAAATTGTTAGCTAGTTGTCTGGAAAAATTTTAATAATGGGTTGTTATTGAAATGTACCCGAATATAATATAAATATAAATTAGCTAGTAGCTAATAGCAAAAAGCTCCAAAATGGAGCTTTTGTAATCAACCACTGATATTTGATAGAAGCCTCAGTTATCAACTCTTGATTAGAAATCTTACCAAACAAGTTTGTCCTAACAGTTGTTGAGTACAACTACAAATTAGCTATTAACTGTATGAAATAGCTGACTCAAGCGCCCTCTAAGTGAAAAATTAATGATAGATTCAAATATCTCGAATAACAGATAGATATTTCACATTTAACATCTGACAAGGCTAACACATTATGTAACTAAGAAATAAGACTAAGTGCCCATTTGGTTTAGTTGTTCGTGATGTGATAGTTAGTAGTTGGTAGTTGAAAGTTGTTAGTTGGTTGTTTAAAAAAATTTTTAATAATCAGTTGCTATTGAAATGTACCCAAATATAATATAAATATAAATTAGCTAGTAGCTAATAACAAAAAGCTCCAAAATGGAGCTTTTGGAGTCAACTACTGATATCTGATACAAGCCTTAGTTATCAGCTCTTCATTAGAAATCTTACCAAACAAGTTTGTCCTAACACTTCTGGGGTCCAAGCGCCCTTTAAGTGAAAAATTAATGATAGATTCAAATATCTAGAATAACAAGTAGATATTTCACATTTAACATTTGATACGGCTAACACATTATGTAACTACCTTTATAATTATTCCCATTTTTCAAGAGGAGAAATAAGAAGTTTTTTGAAGGAAGTAGTCAAAAGGCATAGAGATTTTTTCTAATCTGATCTTGCTGAATGATCATGACTACTTTAGAGAGGAATCAAATCCCTAACTTTTGTTGATAGGTGTATAGCATTCCATATCCCTATCTTTTAATATAAGATTTAAAATAAGAGGTCAAAGCATCTTGGCACAATGCATCTCTAGACTTAGCATTTTAATTTGGAAATTGTTTAAACCCCTTTCTTTTGCTTAAGTGCATTAGGCAAATAAGGAAAAGCAGGTTTAAAATCCAATGACAATGGCAATATAAAAGCAGATCCTTCTCACAAATGAAACAAATCAATTGCTAACCCTACTGGTTTCAATTCTTAGTTATCTTTCAAATGAGAACATCCTCACTTGGGAGCAAATAGAACAATTAGCTAATATTGCAACACAGGAAATGGGGATGGTGACTTCCCCCACATTCCAGTAATTATATATATATAAAAAAAAAGGGTTTGGAATAATTAAATAGCATTTAAGGCCAACTTAGAGGAGTGATCTTCGAACTCATTCAAAATAGCTAGATCAGAATTCAGAATCAGAAACGGAAGGAAAGTTCACATGGAGACTTATGCTTAGGATACAAAACCAACTCACCAGAGAAAGAATCAGAAAGAACTTCCATGACAAAGTAGATTGTTGACGATAAAGCCATGCACAATATACCCGAGTATCTAGATCCACCCCACACCCACAAAATAAAATGTGTCAGCGAAGATGTCTCCATTTCAGGTAATTTTGCCATTTGCTCCTGCAAATGAAGCCAAATTAACCATAGTAACTTCTCCAGTTCTGGCTATACTTTCATTTCTCAAACTATAATCAAGAGAAATCCAAACAATCAAATCTAAACTGAAAAAGAGCAATTGCCTAATACCTAAACACCACATTATAAGGATTGAGATGGCCCGAAAAAATTATAAAAAAAAACACTCAGCCAACCTTCAGACTAGTTTGCTCAAGAATTCAATGGCCACTAGTCCTAGAATTAATTTTCAGCTGCTTTTTATTCTTTTGCTTTTGAATTACCAGGCTGGATTATGTGTATTTAAAAAGGATTCGTTTTTAATTTGTGTTCAAATCCATTACGTTAACTCATCCATTCAAATAAAATGACGCCTCAGCTAATTTGCTGCATTATTAGGAAAAAGCAAATCCAATTTTTTGAAATTTGGCAGCATCAAACATGTGTGTGTATATATAACAATAGATTATAAAAGAAGAGCAATGTAAAGAAAGAGACACGGCTATTACTCTAGGTTTTCTACGAGAATGGGAAACAGAAAATATATTGATCTTGGGCTTCTCTTCTGGCTTTAAAAGAGGAGCTATTTCCTCAGAGGCCGAATCGGCGCCGGCGCTGTCGCCGGCATTATCATGAGGTGATGATGCTGAATCGTCGCACACAATCAGCTCCACTGCGTGATTGCCATCGGTGATCTCTGTAGGCGCCGCCATTTTCGACCACCAAAGGAACCCTAGAGATTGTAGCTACAAGTCTTGAGTCCAAGATTTAGATATGTAGACATTGAAATGGTTGCTCGTTCGAGTGCAGCGAAAGTGATTTTTTAACGGTCAACTTGGAATGTGCACGTGGCACTTTCTGAATGGTCCACTGGTGTGTGAATCGTTAAAATTGTATAGGAATCACGTCTTAGGTATAGCCCTCTTCTCCCTCCCGCTCACAATCATCGGACCGGCGGGGAAGTTAGATCGAGTTTTTAAAGATCCAAATTTTATTAAAATTGATATTAAAAATTTTAATTTAGCTGAACTTAACTGCTTACAATTAAAAAAAAAAATTTCAAAATAAATTTGAGTATATTAAATGAATTCCAATTAAGAAGTTATCATTATTTAATATAAAATCTATATAAATTTAAATATTTAATTAAGCTCGTAAAATCGATTATGATGATACTAAGACTCCATATCTCGACAAATTACCCAAAAGAAGCCCTTAAATTTCAACAAATTAATCTACTCACACTAAATTTTGTGGCTAAAACTATTATAACAATGCTACTCTGTTTTCATTAATTTTGGTCAATTAAAATTACCTGTGAGCTGAAAGCCGTCTATATCCAATAAAATTAGCAAACAAGAGATGAACCAAAAGAAATTTTGACTGATGTAATGAGAATTACAATGTTGGCTAAATTATAATACAGAAACCCACAGAGGTTTCCTTACTATCAAAACAAAATTTTTGGAAGCTTACTCGTTCACAGCTAAGCAACTGCGTGAACAAGAATCACCACCAGCTGAAATCCTTCAAGAGAAAAGCATTTCTGTGGTTATATACACAGGTATCCATTGCCTTGCTTTGGAGTCGGATATACTATTGCTCGTCTTTAGCTGCCAAATTGGGGTTCAGAGACATTTCAATCTCTTCGAGAGAACGCCCCTTGGTTTCGATTGTGAAGTAATTAGCAAATATGGCAGCTAACAAAGAAACAATGCCAAAACCAGTGTATACTGGAGCAACCCCAAATATTTCCACCAAGTCAAGAAAGAATAGACCCACCAAGAAATTACAAACCTGAAGGAAATTTACCCAATTCAGAAAAGATGAATTCCGACAGAGCATCATAAAGGAAATGCAGAATAAAGAAAAAGAATATCAATATAAAAAAATTAAAATAATATGAAATTTCAAGGTCATTTCTGTTTCAGTTCCTACTTGAAGAGTGGAAAAATCAGATTGCTCCTGCCTTTTGGTACAGAAGCTGTCAAAGATTAAGAAAAATCGCTCCTGTTTTTTCTTTTTTCTTCTTTATCCCCCTTGCCCCAACCCCCCAAAGAGTAAATAAATAGGTAGAATAATTGCTGTAATACTAACCCAATGAACAGAAAAACTGAATCCCATAACCTTTCCACGCATCCTGGAACTGCTAAGTTCTGGTATGATAATACCAGTTACTGGACCAGCTCCAATTGCAAAGGTAAAAATATACCTGCATATATGAACAAAAACCAAGCAATCCATTACCGCTATACTTCAATGGTCTTAAAGCTGCTTTCCAAACTATATTTTAATTTCTTCTAAAAACTTTTACCTGTTCCTCAAAACCATAGTTTAAGAAAAGCTAAAAAATTTAGCTTTCCCCAACCATGGTTTGCTGAGCCTTAAATTTTAACTGAAATTTGCCAAAAGTAGCCCACCACGATGCCAAATAGGCACTAGAACAGACTAGATCCAACATATTCAAATATCTTGGCTTCAAAATAAATGCGATTGGTTTGAGTTTCCAAAAAGCATTCAAACGCAATTTTCAGTTTGGTAATGAATTACATTTTATTGAACCTCTTGAAACTAATCAATAATAATGTCCAATTCAGCTTGTACATATATATATTTAATGCATTATTATATAAAACTAGTCTATTCTAAATGTCCAATACCTAATTTCATTATTCAGTAAGGGGTCTGTTATTTTGTCTTATTGATAGTTTGTCAGATCTTAAACTCATTCATTTAGACAACAATGAAATAAGCTTATTCGTCTCAGCTAAACCAATAAGTTGATTATCTGAATTTGTAAGCCAAATTTTGTCAGAATAAAAAAGCTCCATGGTAGAGCTGATTCAATAACCTGTGTAACTTATTGAATAAAAAGGATACAAAAAAAGCGTGTTTTATAATTATAAAATGACTTCATATACAACTTCTTAATCATTCAGCAATTAGCTCTTGATACCACTTCTTAATCATCCAGCTCGATAAGCTATTAATTCAGATTCAGCATTCAGAATTCAGTCAAAACAAACAACTCCTAAATAGAGGAATAGTCAAGTTCTATAAACAAAGCAATGTGAGTTAGGATTTTACAAATCAGAAGCACAATAACTTGAGAACTCAAATATAATTCAGACTAACTGCCAAATAAAAGGCATCTAGGTTTTGTTAGTTTGTTTATGTTTGGTTGACTTGCATTACTACTTCTATTGGTTTGGTTTGTGTTATATCAACGCTCACTTTCCTGTTTGGAATTTTTCACACAAACATACAAAATTGAACCATGAGCAGAGAATGCAAAAGCAATATTAATGAAATATTTTCAGAATACTCTAGATCAGAAGGCAAGACAGATTTGGGATGCCATATGGTGTCTTCCTTGTCGGGAATCTTTTTTCTTTTTTTTTTTTCGCTTTTAATTTTTTATAGTACACTGGAAAATTTCAAGTGAAGGGAAGGGGGTTGTCAGGTTTGAACCCTGGACATTCAGCACCACAGGGTAGGAACTCAAGCTAGAGGCTACTTGTTCATGGCTGCACGACATCATTTTTGTGAAGGAATAAATCAAAGTTAAGCATAAGAAGAGAGAAAAAAATGGATCATACATCATTAATACAAGTCTCATTTCAACTGTTACTACAAGCATCAAACAAGCTTTGGCAAATTCTACCTCGAAGTGCATATAGCTAAAAGATTTATGGATTATGCATCAAAAGCATCAGGACCAAATCAACACTGAAAATAATACTGCAGGTGCAGGAAAAACTACTTGAACGTATCTAAATTAAATACTAATATGTATCAATGATCACCTGAATCTAAAACTCCTAAACCCTGATATAGCATGCATTTATTATTAGGGCTGATAATGATGCAAGCCATTTATAGTACTGTTAGTTATGGCTCATTGGATCTTATAACAGAATTCATCTGCTTTTGCTCAAGTTTCTGTTTTAAAAGAAGGGCTTACTATGCCTAGCAGAATGTGTCAAGAGTAATAAGTTCAGCATCTTCAGGGCATTGGTTTTCTTACATCTCACAAGTGCCTTGGGAAAGAAAACAGACTTCCAAGCCCACAAGAATTAATGAATTTCTTCTCGGAAACAAAAGGAATGGGATTTCTTCTCATGACAAAACCTTAAATTCAGCAAGAGAATGATGCTAAACACCGCAGAAAAGTAAACAACCAAGAGTTCTCTAATTCATTCTCTCTCTCTCTCTCTCTCTCACACACACATATCTATGTATCCATCTATCAATTTGACAAATAATCTAAATAACGAATTATAAAAATTTGCTTACATGAGGACTCCAATTATTGATAAGTTGTGGCTGAGTTCCTCATCTACTGGAAAACTGATTGCACTTGCTACAAGAAACATCGACACAGCCTGCAAAAGGACAATAACTCACAACTTATAATCACAATCAATGCATATTTCATTTTTCTTTTTTTAGCTATTTTGGGTAGTTAACTGAGTTTTGATTGTATAAGGAAGTACAGTGCCAAATAAATGCTATCATGTCATTTCTCGAGACAACAGCAATTATATGCTTACTGTCTTGTACAATCATTTCACACACTCACCATTCCTATATAGCTGCCAACTAACAGTTTTTTTCTCCCTTCCTTCTCCATCAAGTATGAAGCACAAAGTGCACCTGAAGTTAACATCAGTTGACAAAATTACGAGACTGTTTCACACAGAAATAAGTTCTTAAGTGCATTATTAAAGATATATACCAAACCTGCAAAGTTGATGATCCCAACAAAGCTTGCTGAAGCACCATTTGTTATACCAACATCTTTAAAAGTCAATGATGAAAAATACAGGACTCCATTTATACCAGCAAATTGTTGGAGTATAAAAAGGGAACCTCCAATGAATGCAGCTGCAACAATAAAACAACATCAATATCTACAGGAGAATTTCACAAGTTATAAACAGCATAAGGAACAACCTCGTTTCTTAATTGAAAAAAAAAAAAAAATGCACGGAGTTTGAATTTTGAATTCACGTTTAAATGTATTTCTCGAGAACACATTCCATATAGATGGAGATGCTTGATGGAAGTTCTTACAATCAATAATTTGTTCACCATAAAATTTACTTAAATGTGATATACAAGAACAACCTCGGTACAACCTCTAGAGTGTGGCTCCTCTAGGAGTTCCAACCACCTGCTGCCCTCATCATCATAGCTCTTATTCTTATTGACCGATTGGAAATCTTCGATCGCCCTTTCAACTTCAGATGGTCCCCAGAGATTTTGGATAACTGCCTTAGCATCTTCTAATCTTCCTACCTACCAAAGCAAAACATAATAGCTTCAGGAATGTATCCATAAACCAAATCTTCTAGACTTTTGCAAAAACAAACAAAAGAATCATACTTTACAAAGCCAGCGAGGACTGTCCACAGCAAACTGCATGCCAACTGAAAGAATAACTGCAGGAACAGTTGCAATATAGAGCATTGTCCTCCACCTGAAGGACATTTTGTTAAGCTCTATTGACCAGTTCAGAAAAGCGGTACCAAAAGCTTGGAGTCCTAAATCTCCCAAATGTTAAACAAAGAGATGTGATGTCTCCTTTAAAAAATCCTATGGCACATGCAAAAGCATATTGATGCTTTATGATCCTAGTTGTAAGCTATTGGACTTGGCTCCTATGTTGAAAGTATGAGATTCCAGTGCAACACTTGAACTTTTTAACCTCTAACATCTAGCTTTTGAATTATATTTCTCCCAAGGTCACATCAATTTATATCAGAGCCAACCACCGCTTCTCTCAATTGCAGTTGAGTGGCGGTTGGTGACACCGGCAATGCATGTGTTCGGGACTTGGTTGCAATGCCTGTAATGCAGTGTTCACTCAAGGCTAGGAAAAAAACTAGCATACAACCAAAGCCAACCCGTCATGGGTGTCAAGATTAAGAAGCACGGTGGGATGTTATGATATCGGTTGCAAGGTATGGGACCTGGATCCCACATTGAAAGCATGAAATTTCAAAATGATTTTTATATAAACTTGGACTCTCCAACCTCAATGGCAAGTTTTTGAGATATTTTTCTCCCAAGGTCATATCATGATGTAGGTTAAAAAGCAAAGTGAATATGATTATGTCTCCTTCATAGTAGATATGTAACAGCATATCAAAGTAGATTTAATCTGCAAGAGCTCTAAAAAATTTAACTAGCCAATTATTTATAGTATTGGAACAATATATGACATAATTTGGCCTGTGATATATTTTGGACAAATATTATCAGCTTGTTATGCTTCATAGTATCACCCATATCAGTCTGTATCAACCATCAAATTGGCCAATATGGCTAATTAGACCAATATAACCAATATGGCTTATATGGCCGCAATGTCCTTTACTCATATAAAGGGCCTTTTGATCCCATTGTTAGCTGGAGCTTTTCTGAAGCCAAACCAGATTCCAGCCAACCACATAGAACCAAAATTCACCTCCAGATTTCAGATTTAGTGAGATTTTTTTCTCACCCTTCAGATTCCGAGCCTAAGAAAATTAAATATGGAATTCTGAAACACAACTTATACAATTAATCAACAGGACTTTTTGCTATCAAGGTCCTATAGAACACCTTCTGGTGGCAACTACCAAATATTTCAAGCAATTCATGCCTTGCACTAAATAAGTTAGTTTAGGTGCTGAAAGTAATAATTTTATTTATTGAGTTAAAGTTTAGATAAACTATGAATTTGAGTACTGCTTTTCTTCTTTCATTTTTTTTTTTTTTTTTTTCTTTTCTTTCACCCTTCAGATTCCGAGCCTAGAAAATTAAATATGGAATCGAAAACAACTATACAATTTAATAACAGGGACTTTTGCTATCAAGGTCCTATAGAAACACCTCTGGTGGCAAACTACCAAATATTTCCAAGCAATTTCATTGCTTGGCACTAAAATAAGTTTAGTTTTTTGGGTGCTGAAAAGTAATAATTTATTTATTGAGTTAAGCTTTAGATAAACTATGAAGAGTACTGCTTTATCTTCTTTCATTTTTTTTTTTTCTTTCTTTTTTTTTTTTTTTTTCTCTTTTCTTTTCTTATGACTGAGAATTGACGACAATGACACTATAGCTATTACAGTTGAGCCACAAAACCACCACTGCAATTTACTATCATGTCTCAGCCTTCCACCCGTTCTTTTAATTTCCTTTATTCTAATTCATGCAATGCACAAGGACTAAAAAATCTTTAATATACAGCTAAATAACAAGTGGAAAAAACAATGATATTCCAACTCTATCAAGCACCAGTGCAAAGGAAAAGATTCTCACCAATGTGGATCAGTTTCAGAGAGAATTCCAAAGAACAGTGATGTTATGATCCCAAGGCATGTACCAATTTGACTCAAAGTTCCTAGAGAACCCCTGTATTTTTTTGGGGCAACCTAAAATATACAGCAAAAAGAATTGGCCACTGTAAAAAAAAATTAAGGTGAAGTGCAGAACTTCAATTGCAAAACAAGCATCGATGTATAAAGGAGTGAATGACAGGCTCACATGTGCTACTGTTATGTAAAAATTTTACAACAAACTGAATGAAAAAAGACATCAATAACATAATGATTACCTCTGAAATATAGATTGGAACAAGAACTGTGTTCACACCAATGCCAAGTCCAACAAGAAATCTTCCCCAAAGTATTTCATCCAAGGAATGGGCTTGTGCACTGTTACAAATTACAAAGAGTGACTAAAAATCAAGTGAAATAAATTAAACACCCCATTAAATATAAACATGAGAACATAAATTTATGATCCCATCATTGTTATAAAAAGCAGTCATTGCCTGATAAAAAAGTAAAAAATAGATAAATAAATAAAAAACCACTAAATCAATCAAACAGAAACTTCTTAACCTTAGGAGTGGAAACTATGAACCTCATAGATCAACCACTTCTGGCATGAAAACCTTATTTTCAAACAAGTTATGATCATTGGTAAACATTCCTATGTTTAATCATAGACGTTAATTACCTTATAATGGCACCAAGAATTAATGGTATTGCATCAACCTGAAATGTGCGCCGACATCCAAGTTTGTCCACTAGTGAACCACTGCTTATGCTGCCAATAAATGCCCCACATATAAAAATGCTGACCACAAGTCCCTCAAGAATTGGGTCTCCTTCAAAACCCAGCTCTCGTGCAATAGAAAGAATAGGACCATTCATCACTCTGCATATCATCAATCAACATTTGCTAATGATAAATGCCAAAATACAAAATGATGAGGATGCTATTAAGAATAATAATAATAATAATATCATATGCAATCATATATATATATATATATATATACAATCATATATATACTATATTAATATATTATATATATATACTTTCCAAAGATAGACATATTACTCATACTTTGTTGATTTTGAACGCTCAATTAATCACACCAGAGGTTATATCATCCCAGGATCTCACAATGTACACTTAATTTGTGATCAAGTTTCATAGTCAAGTGTTGAATTTTGTTGCTCAACAAAATCATCAACATTATTTAGTTTCAAATAAGATGTCACTACACACCGAATTTCCAAACCAATCTGAGGTTGACTAAGAAAATGGCCTACTTGGCACGTCAGTTAGGAATTATATATATATATATATATATATATAACTTGTCAAACTAGCATATACCTCCATACTTGTTGATTTTAACGCTCAATATCACCAGGTTAATATCATCCAAGGATCTCACAAATGTACACTTAATTTGTACATTTCATTCAAGTGTTAATTTGTTGCTACAAAATCATCAACATTTCATTTTAGTTTCAATAAAGTCACTCACACCAATTTCCAACAATCTGGTTACTAGAAATGCTACTTGGCACGTCAGCTAGGATTTTCTAATTCTGTGGCAAGCAGCAAGCTCATATTCAAGAAAATAAATCATATATTTTCAATTCATAACGTAATATTCAAATTGACATTTGATTAATATTAATTTTACTTATTCGTACTTTACATTAGTATATAATAAAAAATGTTGACTACCTTTTAATCTTAATTGTTTAAATAGTAATAAGATATCCTACTTGAAGTGCCAAATATGAATTCAAGTAAACAGATTACCAGAATTCGATGACAGTGACTATTGAATCTCCAATGAGCAATCAATTTTAGCATGACTAATTAAAATTCCACAACTTTAATGACATTAAGGCCTAAATTCCACTTCAGTGATCTAGGCTGAAATTAACCACATTCAAGATAAAATTGCTAAGTAGCTTGAAATGCCTTGATCAAGAATTCTTGCTCAGCCTAACACTAACAAATAAATCATGAAGAGAGAGCAAAAGCGTCTTACCCTATGTGATAACCAAAAAGAAAATTCGACATTGAAGCTATCAGCGCATGAGGAAAAGCAGGCAGCCATCCGAAATCAACACTCCCATTCTCTACCAAAGAATTTGCCCTATCTGTAATTCAATTTTTGAATAGCTGTTTTAGATTAAACAAAAGTAACGAAACGAGTCAAAATGTATTTTACAATACCTGATTTCGGAGTCTGTAGCTCCGGCAGCCGCTTCTTTGCCTCCGCCGAAACTTTGAATTTTAAGCGTCGATACGAAAGTCCGAAACAAAAAAGATTTTGTTTCGGATGACGTAAAGATGTTTGTATAGCCGGGACTGGAAGAACCAGCTGAGAAAGTACTGTAGTAGCCAGCATCGGATGAGAGGGAAGTGGAGGGTTAAGTTGAAAGCGTTCGACTGTGAAGAAGGCGAAGTGGAATCACGCGATCAGCAGAGGGTCTCATTGCTTTGTTACGTTTGTGCACAAGTTGCCTGGAAATGGGGACCTGAGAGAGCAGGCGATCCCACCGTGCAAAAATGGTGGGATGCCACGTAGCAATACTTTACATAGATCAGATAAGCGAGGACCTGGAATTATGGAATTATCAAATCAAAAGTTTCCGACCTTGCATTTTTGTAAAAATACTCCTCTATTATAAAATATAAATCTTATTAAAAATTATTTACACAAAAATTAAAAAAATAATTAATTATTTTAAATTATAATAACATGGTAAATTGATTAAACTATTTTTTATTTCGAAATAAATAATTATCTATGAAAGTATTATTTATGTTTCATAATATTTATCATATTTAAAATGTCACTTCCTTTAATAAGCTTATTAAATTTATTTACGTTATAATAAATTATTGAGTAAATTAATTATATTAACTTTAATTTAATACTAATTTTTTAAGAAAATCATTAAATTAAAATAATAATTATTGTCAATATACAAAGAGTGAATATGAAAAAAAATATTTATTACTCTTTGAAACCATAAATGTGACAAGCATTTCGAAACAAATTATTTTTTCAAATACGACAAGTATTATGGAATGAATGTGGTATTTATTATATTTAATGTAATAAGGGTAATATCAGAAAAATATCATTTATTATTTCTTAAAATAATCAAAATGACTTATATTTTAGGACAAAAAAATCACTAAAAAAATTTATATTTTGAGACAAAGAGAATATATGATTGTATAATATATACTAAAATGAAAACCGAAATCACCCTCCTTGGTTTTACAATTCATTAAATTTTTTTTTACACCTGGCAAAAAAACCAAAATCACTACTTATAGAATAGTGTAATACCTATTAAATCATCTCATATTTTTGCTATTCCTATTTTACCCTCTCTACTTTAACAACCCACTAAATTCTTTTTTCAACACATGGCAAGAATTTAGCTTCCCACCTAACACAATGTTGTAGATATAAATTAGATAAAATACAACATTATATATATACTAAACAAAACCCAAAAACACTATTCATAGAATTGTGTTTTCCACAAAAACCATATGATTTTTCATGTCATTCCCATTTTGCCCTTTGTCATATTTACTAAATAATATTTTTCCAATTAAACCACATCTTTTCCATATTTTCTTCATTTTGCCCCTTGTCATATATAAGAAGTTACTGTTCATTTGAATAGTGTTTTAACTTTTATTTTTACTACTTTGTCTTCATTCATTTCTAATCATTTATCATAATTCTCGTTGTATTTTTCTAAATTTCCTCATTTTAATGTCTTTCTAATACTCATATAGCCACGCAATTAATTCTCCACCATTTTCATAATGTAAATTAAATTAATTTAATATTTTTAATAAATAAGTTACCTTACCATTTAGTATTATTAGTTTAAAATTTATGATAATTAGTTTTTTTTTTTCATTTATATAGAACTGACTCAATATAAATTTAAATCTCAATAGATCAAATTCACTAAATAATTACCTTAGCATTTTTTAAGTGAATTACCATTTAAACCATCAACTTTTTATCCTATTCTATTTTTACTATTCTTAGAGGCTTCTGTTTTGACTATTCTCTCCCTATAAATGAATTTTGGACATTAATATGCATAGATTTATCTTTCTCTTTCACTAAAGATGACCTATTTAGTGTTTGTCTCTTTTCCATATTGACATATATTTTATTTTAACTTCATTGGTCCAATTAATTACCATCAAAATTTTTTTCATAAGTGATCTTTTAGTACTGTTTAAATAAATTATGTATCTCTGTTCTTAAAATTTAACTATTTGAATATTCTGGAATTGATTTTTCTTTTTAATTTATATAAACAAAGCTTAATACGACTTTATAACATTAAATTAAATGGACGAATAATTATAAATTTTTGAACAATTAATTTTACAATTTATGACATAGTTAATTTATAATTAACTTAACCGATTATTATTTTTTTAAATGGCAATGCATATAACAGATTTATTATTTATTATATATTATCATGTATTCAATAAGTATAAAACCATTAAACTTTTAGACTTTTTTCAATTCTTATTGTTCTATTGACTATTTTAATTTTTTTCACTTTAAGTAATTTTTTTTACTAGAACTAAAAGATTCATGAGCAATTTATGAAGGTAATTGATAAAGGATAAATTTATATCAGATAAAATTTGAGAAATTGAGGAACACAAAAAACCTTTTTTTTTGTGGATACGATATTTTTTCACAGCAAAAAATGATAAAAAAATAAGTGTGAATTTTATATTTTTCTTCAAAAATCATTTAATATTTGCATATAAATAAAATACGAGAGAATGATACCCTAATACAATTATAAAATTATTTTAAATATTATTCAAAATATGATTTTATATGTATTGATGGAATAAATTTTCTATTAGTAAAATAGATGATGCAATTTTATATAAATAAAATATATTTTTTAAAAAATATAAATAAAAAACTAAACATTAAATAAATAAAAAAAATAGTATCAACTAGCAAGCCCCCAACGTTAGCGTGGGTCAATGTGCTTGTTTATGTTATAAATGTAAATGGAAGTATTTTGACCACAGTTTGAAAACCGGACCAGACCAGTCGGTTCGACCGGTTTAATTGGAAATCCAACAGTGGTCTGGTCTGGGTTACATAAAAAACTGAAGAACTTAAAAAATGGCAAAAACAGAATGAAAACGGCCAAATCGGTGAAATATACCGGTTAAAAACTGGTGAACTGAACCGGTTAAAATCGGTTCGATTCAAATTTTGGAATTTTATCACTAATTGTGGGCCTTTTTAAAATTTGGACCTCTTAAAAGTTGGGTTTAGTAATTTTTTAGTTTCGGCCTCTTTATTTCTAAATCCAAGGTCCTATTATATTAATTAAAATAATTAAAATTTTCAACTTTAAATTCAAATGTGAAAATAATATTATATTTTATTATAATTAATTGATTTTTTTATTAAATTTAGTAATATTTTATTTTTTAAAAAATTATTTACTAATTTTTCTATTTTTTACAAAAGCCAAATTTGAGAACTTTTTTTATTTGATATCAAAATTCTTTTATCCTATACTTTCAATTTTATTTAATAAATATATTTAAAAACATTATATATAAAAATCCAGTGAAATCGTATTTAACGGTTGAACCCTCCGACTTAATAAATCCCTATTTTCGCTGATTTACTCTTACCGGTCCAATCTTCGTAACACTCATTTTCACAATTCTTCTCCTCCCATTGGGTAACTGGAACCATTACTAATAGCCATTGACAATCTTTTTTCTCATCTTCTTTAGATAAAATAATGTATTATATAGTACGTATTACTATCATATGAAAAGTGACTACAAATACTTTTACCATTTTCTTTCATTTTTTTTCATTTTTCTTCTTTTAAAATTTAACCCATTTTTCCATAACACTGTTAATATTACATATATTTTTGCTCAACTCATTTTATGTATTTTTAATTAAATAGAGAAGAATATAAAGAAATTAACCAATTTTATTTTACTTTTTTAAATTTTTATTTATTAACCAAATAAAAAGAAATTAGTGCAAAGGAATTTTATTTAAATTTATTTTATTTTTTTACCATTTTTATTTATTAATTGACAATATTGATTTAATTTATTTACATCAAACACTTTTTAAAAAATAAAAATTTATTCAATTATAATTATTTTTTTTCTAAGACAATCTTTTTAATAAACCAAGTATATATTATAATTCCTAAATCCAATTAAAAATTGTGAAATTGAATTTTTTTTTTTTTTTAAATGAAACCCAACATGAGTTATTGTCGAATTTGATGCATAGTTAGAAATTTTTTCAAATAATTAAATTTTATTATCTAATCGATTTACTATTTATTTATATGTTATTATACATTCCATAAGTAGAAAAATTATTAATTAATATTTAATATTCTCGTTGTGTTGTGCTTTAATACCATATAATAATAATTATAATAAGAAAAAAAAATTTAGAGCTCTTGAACTATCATTGTTTAATATTGCCTATTTTTAATTTTTTATTCATTAAAAGAAATGTTTTTATGCTAAATACGAAACTTATGAGAAATTTGTGAAAGATTATTTATAAATTATAAAAAATTATCTACACTTTATAGATTCAGTAATTTTATAATAAAAATTTATGAAACCAAAAAAAAAAAATAAACGCAAATTTTATATTTTTCATAAAAAATTTTAATCTGAAAAAAGTACAAATAATCCAAACAAAACCAATTTAATGGACTTAAAATGAATTTTTTTTTCTACTAAGAACAATATCAAATGTTTTACCTATATCTACATGTATTTAATATAATAAATATTATATCGTAAGAAAAAAGATATTGTATTAATAAAATCAAAATTTTGGAAAAAAAAAAGAAATGCAATTTTATGTAAAGAAATTAATTTTATAAAAAATTAATAAAACAAATATTAAGAAATCATTAATACACCTGGAACGCAGTGCGGGGCAAAATTGCTTATATAACACAAACGCTTCCAAAGAATCAATGTTCATGGAAACAGTGATTTTGGCTTCCATTAAAGTAAAATCTAGCGAGGCAACACCGCCATTCCAATTAATCGCTTATCAACACCTGCCTCTCCATGACCTGCACAAGCTAATCGATATTATTTTCATCCCTTGCATTCTCATACAACTTAGGTTCTTCATCACTAACATAATTTTCATGTTCCATGTCCTAGTTTTTTTCTAAGTGGATATCTGTCTCAATGTACATCATTCTTGCAAATTTCAAGAAATCTCCAATTTCTCCATGGTTTAAAATAATCAATTGTCTGTATTTTCCCATTACCAAAGTCTCTTATAGTATTAGCAATGTCCAGATAAGACATCTCTTGAGAGTGACATTGAGTATCCCAATCTTGCAAAATCCTTCCTCCGATGTAGTATTCTTACATTTTCTCATTTTTATCACCAACTCATATCTCAAGTAGGAACCTGTTTAATAAATGCAACACTATATAAATGTGCAACTCATCAACACTAGCAAGTCAATGAGCC